TCAGGCAGAAAGAGGACTTGAACCCGCCCTGGGGTTTCTAGAAGTGGGGCCCAGGAAGCCCCCACTTGGCAACCAGAGGGAAACACAGTACAGGGGAGGCCTTCCTGCCAACCAGGAGAAGGGAAAGGCGCCAGGGAAAAATCCCTGCCGGTGCCGTCCTGCCTGTGCCAGCTTGGGATGGTCCCCTGTGATTGGGTCAGGGCGGGGGTGGGGGGGTGCAGTGGAGAGATGGTCCCGGCAGGCCACCTGCCAGAGGGCAGATGTGCTGGGGAGTGAGTGTGAGTAGCCACTGATGGTCCTGTGGGCCCACACCAGGAGAAGACCCTCCTGCCACACCGTCCAGGCTGCGCTCCACCAGCTGGGAAAAATACTCGTTTTTTTCTGTGCACTTCAAAAATACAAAAATACAGTGGGGGAAATTTTCATACTGACATGGCAGATAATGTTCACACGACACCTCCTTAAAACAACACTCCCTGCAAAGGAGGCCCTGGCTGGAACTCCCCTTTTCGTGGCCTCATAAAACACTGATTTATGGACCTTCAAAGATACACCTTTATTGTTTCAGTTTTCCCGGTGTAAGAATTTCTGGTAGATAACTGAGAAAAGCAAGCAGCTATTTCCTTATCAACACAGAGAATGTGTTCACGCTCCAGATTTGCCTTTTGGGGGGGAAGTGGTGGAGAGGAAATAATGAGGGAGGCACTGGAGATATTTGTCATCGCGGCCCGGCGCAGGGGACGAGCCCGCCGGCCGCCGCTCTGTGCTTCTCCAAAGCTAACAGGCGGCTCGGTCGGCCCGTCAGGATGGGCTGGGGTGGGGGTGCAGGAAGACTGCGGGGTGGGGAGCCCCCTGAGCCCACAGCCCCGCGCTTCTCCACCCGCGGGGATTTCCTCTGTGGGGTCTCCCGCTGGCCTTTCCAGGGCCTGGGGCCTGGGTTTCTGATGAGTCTGCCCTAACCACCGCAGCCAGGGCCAGCCGAGCGTTATCGCAAAGGCTGTAAAGGTTTTATGCCCGTCTGCTTGGTGGGGTTTCCTGCATGAAGCGTGTTACACTATCTGTAAAGTCATAAAAATGTTAATTTTTTTTTACTTCTTGGCGCGAGTCTTCCAGGCCTAGCCCCACGCCAGCCCCTCCAGATGAAAAAGGGGTTTCTCCCCTGTTTCTTGGAATCCCTCTTTCTCTGACCCTGGAGGGCCCACCCCCCTCTACACCCCACTCCTGAATATCCTTCCTGTGGAAGTCGTGATTCCTTCAGCAGCGCCCTCTGCCCACCTCTCCACCCACGTTCTCTCCTCTCTTATCACCTGTTGCTTTATAACTGTGGCAGCTTCGCCGTCTAGACTGCCCTGCAGACACAGGATGTCCTGAGCTGGCTGTGGCGTTCTTCAGACCATAAATGCTGTTAGTCTGGGAAGGAATAAACTACCCTTAGGACTCAGTCTGCGGGGCATCGACGTGGCTCAGAATAATCAATTACCTTCATGAAGGGCCTGCCTCTGTATTTTCCTGCTTGGACCAAATAACAGAACAGTCAATACAAAAACTTAAAATGTGATCATCTGTGAGTGAGTATTCTTGCGTCTGGAAACAAGTTTCTCTCATCCATACAGGCAGAGCGAGAACCAGACAATTGTTTTAATGGACAAATCTTACAGCCTCCCTGGTGGCACAGGGGTTAGGAACACAGCGCTATCAAGCTATTGCCACCCACTGCAGCACGAATTCAATCCCTGGCCAGGGAACTGACCCACAGGGCGTGGCAGACCTCTCCTGTCTTGCCCACTGCTCCCCTCAGCAGTGTATTTCAGTAATACCTGCCTGCTCTGCTCCCCACTCTGTGTCTGGTGAATCCTCTCAAACCTCCCCCTGCCCCCCATCTCTGGCCTATGCCCCAGTACTTGTATGCATAAAGAAAAATAAATCTTAAAAAAAAAAACCCAAAACTTAGAGCCTTCCAGGGAAGTTTGAATCAATTTCATAAAATGTAAATGAAACTAAATATAATACCTGCAGATAGAGCACTTTCTACAAGTAGTTTTTGCCAATTATTTTATAAAACCAGTATAGCATCCCCTGCTGTCCCTCCCTCACCCCCTCCCGGGTCTTCTGTCCTTGCGCAGCGCAGGATACTAACACCAATGGTTTGCCAGTGCAATCCCTAAACACCGTGAATCCTAACAGAATAGGCTGGCCAAGGCAGTCGTTCAGTGACGACTGAACACACACAGCACTAGCAGCCACAGCAGCTCCGGGGGATGAAACTGCAATACTAAGTCCAGCTTCACCTTCCAGAGTTAATGTTTCCCCCTGGGGAGACTGAGCACAAACTAAGCAGAGGAGCGTCCCAACATGCTTTGCAAGCACTGCCCCCAAATCATGGCTGTTTCCTGTTAAGGTGCTATGGGAAAAAAAGAAAGAAAGAAAGAAAAAAAAAAAAACAAAAAAAACCCCAAAAAACAAAACAAAAGAAACCACAAATCACTCAAGTGGCCTGAAGGGAAAGGCAGGAGAAGAAACACTTGTTGAAAATGTCTCCTTTGAGTGCACGAGCTGTTAATAGCTGACCCTAATACCTTCTCCCTGCAGGGAGATGCTCTTTAAACCCTGTCTGGTCTGGGTTCTTGGAGGTGGCAAGGTGCTGCTTCTTTGGCTCAAATAAGATAGTAAGTACCCTGTCCGGCCTGTTGAGCGCTCAGTGAAGCAACACCTAAACTGCTTCAAATGACAAATTTCATGAGGCATCTCGGATTCCGTCCCCCTCAGCGGTTCCAAGAGGCCCGTCCAAGCAGTGACAAACAGAACCATCTCCCTCAGGAGTTTCTGCTCCAGCACAAAGCAGTTCCTTACCCTTGTTTTTGTCAAGGCTCTAATCCAAGACTGGCACCCCTCAGCCCCCAACAGTAGTCTACAGGGGCCTCTCTTGGGGTCTTTCGGCTTCTGGCCCATTCTGGCCCATCACGTTACCAACACCCTGAGCCAATTTTAACAGAGAAGGGAAATCTGAAAGTGCTGAAACCAAGAAAACCACCCTCCGAGAAACTACCAAACACACAAGATTTTTATAGTATTGTGGTGCAGGGCTTGCCAGCCAAGGTCCCTCCAGGGGGGCCGACCATCAGGGACTGACGATATTTATGCAACAGCTGCACTGAGATTTGAGAAAAGAAATTTCATTTGAGAGGACCCCATTTTCTGGCACCCCAGTGCTTCATGCTGAAGCTCTTTATGAGCCCTAAGAGGGAGACCCGGGGTGCAACAGGGCCTGGGGAGCTCCAGAAGGGCGATGCACCAGTGCGCCTGCTCGCCATTCCAGCCCCACGAAGACAGGTCCAGAACAGGGCTCCCGACTGCTGGAAGCACCCTTGCACCTTGGCACCCACCCCCCACGACAGTTGCAAAGTCTATTTTGTCCTAATATCAGCAAAGGGGTCTGAGAACAAGTGACTGTAAGGTTATGCTGGGCCAGAACCTGAACTGGTTGTGGGGGGAGCAGAGGGGAAGGTGGGTAAAACCAAACAGAAAAACCCAAAACCCAAACCCTTATGTCAGTTTTTAATGAAGAACCTGCCACATTCGGTCTCCCTGAACGGTCTACACGGCCCCGAGGGGCGAGTACGGCCCATCCTCAATGACAGGCGGACAGAGGCGCAACGCCCACCTCAAGGCAATGAACCCCAGGATCCAAGGGGTCTGCGGGGACAGATGGGCTTGGGGCGCAGCTCCCCGGCGCGGGCCCGCCTGCGACTGCAAATTTTCTCCCTGGCTTATTTTGTTCGAGGGGGCGGGTTTTCCGCGCTGCGTCCCCGCAGCACCTACTCTGCGCAGGCACGTAGTAGGCGCTGCAGAAATGTTCGGAGAGCGACTGACAGCGAAGCCTGTGAGTTAGTGGAGCTTTTGGAAGCGCTAGTGTCGGAATGTTGGGGTCCCGAGATTGCCCCCTCGGAGCCTCAACACCGTCCATTCGCCCGCTCCCTCCTTCCACCGTCCAAGCCGCCCCCTGCGCCCCCCAAACCTCAACCCTGGCTTCTCTGTCCAGTCTCCAGCCGCATCGCTGCTCCTGCGCCCCAGCCCTCCCGGGAGCCCCGGAGGAGGCGTCCGACGCGGAAAGGGTGAGCGCCGGGGCGGCCCTGGACGCGGGGGGCTCGGGCCGGGGTGGCTGCGCGCGGGGGGCTCCGGCCGGGGTGGCTGCGCGCGGGGGGCTCGGGCCGGGGCGGCCCTGGACGTGGGGGGCTCCGGCCGGGGTGGCTGCGCGCGGGGGGCTCGGGCCGGGGCGGCCCTGGACGCAGGGGGCTCGGGCCGGGGTGGCTGCGCGCGGGGGGCTCCGGCCGGGGTGGCTGCGCGCGGGGGGCTCGGGCCGGGGCGGCCCTGGACGTGGGGGGCTCGGGCCGGGGTGGCTGCGCGCGGGGGGCTCGGGCCGGGGCGGCCCTGGACGCGGGGGGCTCGGGCCGGGGTGGCTGCGCGCGGGGGGCTCCGGCCGGGTGGCTGCGCGCGGGGACCTCGGGCCGGGGCGGCCCTGGACGTGGGGGGCTCCGGCCGGGGTGGCTGCGCGCGGGGGCTCGGGCCGGGGCGGCCCTGGACGCGGGGGGCTCGGGCCGGGGTGGCTGCGAGCGGGGGGCTCGGGTCGGGGCGGCCCTGGACGTGGGGGGCTGGGGCCAGGGTGGCTGCCCGCGGGGGCTCGGGCCGGGGTGGTTGCCCGCGGGGGCTCGGGCCGGGGTGGTTGCCCGCGGGGGGCTCGGGCCAGGGCGGCCCTGGACGCGGGGGCTGGGGCCGGGGTGGCTGCCCGCGGGGGGCTGGGGCCGGGGCGGCCCTGGACGCGGGGGGCTGGGGCCGGGGCGGCTGCCCGCGGGGGGCTGGGGCCGGGGCGGCCCTGGACGCGGGGGGCTGGGGCCGGGGCGGCTGCCCGCGGGGGGCTGGGGCCGGGGCGGCCCTGGACTCGGGGGGCTGGGGCCGGGGCGGCTGCCCGCGGGGCGCGAGGGGAGCGCGCGGGGGCTCCTTACCTGCAGCCGGCCGAGCAGCGCGCAGAGCGCGAGCAGCGCGGGCAGCGGGCGGCGCCGCCGGGCGCGCGGGGCCATGGCGCGGTGGGGCGGGCTGGGCGCCGCGCTCTGCGGCCGGGGCCGTGCGGCTGCCTGGCCTTGGGGGTCAGCTCGCCCCGCCGCGCGCCCCGCCCCGGCCCGCCCCGCGGCACCTGTCCCCGCCCCGCCGGCCCCTCCCGCCCGCGCTGCGCCCCCTTGCGGCCGGGCCCGCCTGCGCCACCCGGGGTACCGGAGCGCGGGGCGCCGCGGGGCCGCCCCCTCGAGCGTGCTGAGCGGCGAGACCCCTGGGTGGCGGCCTCGGGGCTCCCCGCGCCCTCTGCCGCGTGGGCGCGGGAGTGCGCCCAGGACCTCGGGCTGCCCGCCGCCCGCGGGCCCTGCAGACCATCTCCGCGCGGGCCGAGCCGGGGTCTTCCAGGCCGCGGACGCGCTCGGGGCTGCACCCCGGATCCGGGCCAGCGTCGCGGGAGGGGAGGCGGCCCCGGGCTCCCCGCCTGCAGCAGGCGCGCTCGGCGCTCCCGAGGGTGCGTGCGCCCGCCCCGGGACTCGGAGGCGCGTCTTCCCGGGAGGCTCCTGGGCCCCAGCGAAGGGATCGCCCCGGCCCTCGGCCCGACGAGCCCTCCCGGGCGGGCGCTGGTCTCCCGCAGCTCCCGGCTCGCAGCCTCGTCCCGGGCCTCCTTTCGCGGGCTGCCGGCCCCCACGTGCCGCCGCCCGTCGCCCCTTCACCCCCTTCACCCCCTTCACCGTGCCAGCCTCGCCAGGCCCGTCCCTTCTCAGATGCAGCTGGCGAGCCTGCCGTCTGGGCGCAGCACCCTGTTCTGGGCGTTGCTCCCACACGATGGGGCGCGTGTCTCCCCTCGTGTCCGAGGTCGCTGCTGGTACACACGCGCGCCCAGGCCTTGGTGCAGGGGTTCATTGGCTGTGCCTGTCCCAGCTCAACGCAGCAGTGTTCCGAATTCCAGAACTATCTGCTTGCCTTATTTTTGACTCAGCACATGGTGGATCTTAGTGACGATTCCATGCGCCCTTGGAAAAAGTACGTATCTGCGGGTGCAGGAAAAGTGTTTCCTAGGGCCTCCCCGGTGGCGCAGCGGTTGAGCACTGGGTTGCGAAGCTGCCCGTGGCCTCTGCAGCGCCGGTTCGATCCCCGACTGCTCCCCGGCCACTGGGAGAGGGTCCCACATGGTGCGCAGACCTCTCCTGCCGCCCGCTGCTCCCCTCAGCAGTGTACTTCGGTCCTTCTGCCTGCTCTGCTCCCCGCTCTGGCTCTGGTGAATTCTCTCACCCTCCCGCGCTTCTGACTGTACCCAGTGCTTGTATAAACAAATAAATAAATGAAACATGCCTCTATTAAAAAAAAAGTGTTTTATAAATGCCAGTGGAGTCACATTGGGCGAGCTACCCTATGGATTTTCTGTCCATTTGTTCGAACAGACAATGGACATTTCCAACAATAACTAGGATTGGCTTTTCCTTTAAGTTCTCTCAGGTTTTTTTGTGTTGTTGTTTTAATGTTTTCGAAGCTCTGATTAGAGCTGTACACATTTAGGACTATTACGACTTTTTGATGAATGAATCCTTTTATCATTATTACATGTTCCCCTTCAACAGTGGTCAGATTTTGGGTTCTGAAGTCTGCTCTGATAGTAATTAAATAGCCACTCCAACCCTTCTTATGAATGGCATTTACACGATATATTTTACTGTATTACTTTAATGTATCTGTGTCTGTGTAAAGTGAACAGCGTATAACTGGGTCTTGCTTTTCCATTCTGTCCAGCTAGATAATATATTTTGATTGGAGTGTTTAGACTATTCACGTCTAAATATGATAGATGCAGTAAGATTCAAATCTACCATTTTGCTATGTTTTGTATTTTTTTTTTTTTAAGATTTATTTATTTATGCATACAAGAACTGGGGTACAGGCTGGAGGTGTGGGGGAGGGGTGAGAGAATTAACCAGAGACAGAGTGGGGAACAGAACAGGCAGACTGAAGTACACTGCTGAGGGGAGCAGCGGGCAACTCAGGAGAGGTCTGTGCGCCATGTGGGTAACTCCCTGGCTGGGGATCGAACTTGGCTGCAGTGGTTGCCAATAGCTTCATAGGTTGCATCTTAACCCCTTGTGCCACCAGGAGGCTGTTTTGTATTTTTTTTTTTTTTTTCATCTTTGTTCCTTTTCCCCTACCTTCTTTTAGATTACTTGAATCCTTTTTAGGGTTCCATTTTCTCTCACTGTTAGCTTGTTTTTCTGTACCTTCTTTAACATTTTGAACTCTGGGTTTACAATATGGATCTATAACTCATTGTCTACCTGTCAGACCCAGAGCAGGCTTCTACCCTGGCTTTTTTTTTTTTTTTTTTTAAAGATTTATTTATTTATACAAGCACTGGGTACAGTCAGAAGCGCGGGAGGGTGAGAGAATCCACCAGAGCCAGAGCGGGGAGCAGAGCAGGCAGAAGGACCGAAGTACACTGCTGAGGGGAGTAGCGGGCGGCAGGAGAGGTCTGTGCGCCATGTGGGACCCTCCTCCGGTGGCCGGGGAGCAGCCGGGGATCGAACCGGCGCTGCAGAGGCTGTGGGCAGCTTCGCAACCCAGCGCTCAACCACTACGCCACCGGGGAGGCCCTTCTACCCTGGCTTCTAACGCTTGCTGTCTGCTCTGGAGTATGAGTCCCGTCTCATAAGCACTAGTATTTTAGGATCAGGTGAGTGTTGGAAGGGAGGAGAAACACTTGTTTACACTGGATGTTTCCAAATTGCCCACACTGGGGAAAACTGGGTCTTGCCTTTTTATTCTGCTCTGCTTGATAATGTATTGTGATTGGAAAGGGAATCCTAAAAAGCATTCGAGTGATCTAAAAGGAGATAGGGAAAGAGGAACAAAGAAAAAATACAAAACAAATAGCAAAATGATAGATTTAAACCTTTCTGCATCTATCGCAGTTAGACGTGAGTGGTCTTTTTGCATTTCAAGGACAGTTAAAGACTGTCACGATGAAGTGAGCATAGGAAGGGTCACAAGTACAGATGGAAGAATATTCAGTATCTGGCCGAGGATTGTCTTCACTGTAGAGACTGACTTTCTGGGAAAGGCAGGGGTGTAGATGCTGCACTAGGTTGATTTCACAGAAAGGAACTGACTTGGAGGAGAGGGTACTTTCACTGTGGCACTTTGTGTAAAATACCAACGCTTGTCCTGGCACATCTCCAACATCACCCCCTTCTTTTTTCAAAAAGGATTAACTTAAAACTTCTGCTTGGAAAGCCCCAGAGGTGAGGGTGTTGGTTTGGAAGCACTTTGAACAATAGAATGCTCGTGTTAACACATTCGATCTACTAAAAAAGGATGCTTAGAAGTTTTTTTAAAACGTATTTACGTGTACAAAACTATCACTCAACATCAAAACTTCTACGCATTATCTTATAAAAATACCTTACAAACATTAATGTAGAATACCACTTAACATCTTTTACTTTTTCCTACATAAATAGAAATATGAGAAACCACTTTTTTCTACATAAATAGCAACATTAGGAGAAGTCATCTCAAATATCGTTTTTGTCCACTAACGGTAGGATGCCCTGTGGTAGTGACAGTAGCGGCTCATGGTTTACAGAAACTAATATAAATGTGACTTAAGCTAAATCCCTCATATCTGTAAGCACCCATACAATCAAATTTTGCTTATATGTAATAGATGCAAAAAAATTTTTAAACAAGAGATGCTTTCACATTTATGAAAATGAAATGTTTCCAATTCTCAAAAAGTACTCGGCAAACAGTGACTTCTTAGACTGGGGAAAAACAAGGCACATGATACAAATACAGGAATCAGGTTTATTTGAAAACTCTTTTATATGGATAGTGTGAGCCTCACCCTGGAAATCCCCACTCCTTCCCACTTCTGCATGAACTCTAGTTTTCAGAACCAAAAAGGTAGCATTAAAACGTGGCTGTCACCTTTGTTTCTAGTGGATGGTTTGTCGTATTCTATTAAATATTAACAATCTTCACTTGGGCACCAAGACACCAAATGCATATATGTCAGCAAAGGAAGAACTTAATCAGTGCATGTAATTTTTTTTAATGGGGTGATCTCAAGTGAGTATTACTGGGCACAGAGTTAAAGAGAGCAGATAAAGTTAAGTAAATAGAAAACTTCACAAATCTTACTGGAAAAGCTTACTGATAGAACAGCTATTTTTATTACCCTGACATTCGGCTCTTCCTCACTACTCTTCCATGAAACATTTTAAGTGAAAAGAAGCCGTTGCTAAGTCAGTGTTTACCAGAGGTAAGTCAAGTGCAATACACCCAACAATAAAACAAAAGCATTTAACTGTACATGGGGCCACTGACTGTTGCTTACTCTGGCAGACAAGAATTCCTTTAGTTCTGCAGATCTGGTGTTCAAAATGAATGGATTTCTAAAGCGTGTGAGTAGAACTCATAGTTATCACATACCTTTGGGATATTTTGTTAGAGAAAACAGTTTCAAGTGGAAACAGGTATCTAATTTGCATTTCCTTTCAACAGAGAAAATGGCTGCATGTCCTGCACACAACCACAGGGACGAGGTTATCCTCTCTGTGGAGGGCAGTTTTTTTTTTTAAGATTTATTTATTTATGCATTCAAGAACTGGGGTACAGGCCAGAGGTGTCTGGGGTGAGAGGATTCACCCGAGACAAAGTGGAGAACAGAACAGGCAGATCTACTGAAATACACAGCTGAGGGGAGCAGTGAGCAAGACAGGAGAGGTCTGCTGCGCCATGTGGGTCAGCTCCCTGGCTGGGGATCGAACTCATGCTGTAGTGGCTGTGGGTAGCTTCATAGTACTGTGTCTTAACCCCTTGTACCACCAGGGAGGCCCTCAAAACATTCTTAAAAAGCAGAAGTATAGTCATAGTATACTGGATTCAGTCCTCCTACTACAACTGATCAAAGGCCTCCCTTCCTACCTCCTAGCCACAGCGTACAAGGCCCTATCTGATATGGCTAGCCCACTCTCCAATTTCCTCTTCTGATAATCTCATTCAGTTTACCCTAGCACAACGGTTTCTTTCCAGTTCCTTGAATATGTCACTGCTTCTCAGCTCACAGCCCATGTCCACACTGTGCTTTTCTCTTCCTCCTATATTTCGCATGGTCAAAGTCTGTTCTTCCTACTTTCTAGGTAAATTGTTGGAAATTCATTTGAAATCTAGTGAATATTTTACTAGCTGTTGCCTTTCAAAAATCATTAGCATTTAGATAAATTAATAAAAATTATCACAATCAAAATACATCATAGTTATTTACCTGGTAACAAAACATACTTATTCTACTCTAGTTCAAAGCAAATGAATTTAACATTTTTCTTAAAATCATGTCTGAAATGTGTTAAATTTAGAATAACACATTTTTAGAGAATAACACATTTATTTAATAACACATTATTATTTATTTTGTTATTTTAGAGAATAACATATTTCTGTTTTTTAGAGGAAGTAAACTAAAATAGGCAATTTATAGATTATATTCCTAAAATAAGATAGCAGTACATTTTTTTTTTAGGTTTATTATTTTAATTAATTTATGCATATAAGAACTGAGGTGTAGGCCAGAGGTGTGTGTAGGGGGTGTGTGTGTGAAAGAAAGGATTCACTAGAGACTGAATGGGGAGCAGAACAGGCAGATCTACTAAAATACACTGCTGAGGGGAGCAGCGGGTGAGACAGGAGAGGTCTGCTGTGCCATGTGGTCAGCTTGCTGCCTGGGGATTGAACTCATGCCACAGTGGCTGGTGATAGCTGGATAGCACAGACTTTAATCCCTGTGCCACCAGGGAGGCCCAGTAGTACATTTTAATGAATATATGCTTTCTCACTTTCTTTTATTTGTATATAGGATACATTGTTTGCAAATGAAAATAAATATGCAAAACCAAAACAAGTATGGAAAAACATTTTATTTATAATAGATCAACATATTTGACATGAAAGGTAGCCACTTTCAATTTCTCAAGAATGCCTAAAATCCAACAGTTTCCAGAAAGACTAGTTAATTAATTATTTCACTGTAGGGAAAAGAAATAATTTCTGAATGGACTTTTAAATGGCTTTGCTCATGGCAACTTATTTCATAAGCTTGAATGTGTGGTGAGCTAGCTTTCCAGGATGTGAACGTAATCCAACTATGTTCCAAGTATATTAAACCAGCTTATACAACAAACATGAGAATCATTTAAGAGTATCAACTGTGCTCAAACAAGAATTCTCTTTATCTAAAATATTCATTTTTTAAAAAGGCCTCACATTAACCCCTCAAACCAATCACCCCCTTCTATGTCTATGACCTCTGTCTTCCTACTTCAAGTTGCGTTACCCTAAAGACGACTGTCAAATTCCACTGGACCTTTACACTGACTTAAGACTATGTAATATATATCAAACACAGGAACAGTCACTGACTTTAAGCGACAAGATGATAAACTAACCAATAATTCAGCCGATGTCGTTTTTAGTTTAGAGGGGGAAAAAGCAGCCCCTAAATGTTCTTAACTTTTTGGTAATTCTCTATAACATACAGAATGAAAAGGTAATCTCTGAAATCAAAATCATTAGAAAATACCTTAAATAAAATATTTGATGTAAATAAGAGTTAAATTTCAGATTCAAACCATATTTTATTCTGTATTTCAATTTGGGGAAAAAATTCAGAATTATTAGCTCTTCTTACACTTATTTTTGAGTATTTTAATCGACTCCAGGCAAGTTTGTTACTTCACTCCCCATGCTTATGTGCTATCTTTCCTCAGGTAAATCCATTATATACATGTAAGTGCCGGGGAGATTTAAATAGCACTTAAAGAATACTCATGACAGCTCTGAAATGTCAAAAGTTTCATTATTATCTACTTACTGTAGGGTTTGTAATTCAAATTCATCACAGCATTATCAATACTGTGTGAATGGAATGCACGCAGTTCCTACAGACACAAACTGAAGTCCAAAAGGCACAGAGTAATGCTGGTGGCTCTTTCTAGTCAGTTAAGAAACAATAAAAAGTCTGCATTATTCGTCATAATTTAAATACTTAAGTAATCTCCACTTTTATTACTTTATAACAATGACTTCAAATTTACATTATTTTAAGTACCATTGTAATAGCGTAGTGTATAATACAGGTATTTGCTGATATCCCATCCAAAAATTAAAAAAAACACAACTCTTCACTATATATATATATATATGTATATATATATAAAATTATCCTGAAAGACAAGAACATAAAGAGAGTACAGACTATCAACTCATTTTCTTATCACCACAGTTAAAACTCCAAAATAAACAGATATACAGCAATAATCAAAAGCAGTGCAAATATCTTTGGAGGTTAGGAGAAAATTATAATGCAAAAACATACAACAAAGAAATAAAAAAGGTAAGTACTTCAAGTACACGGAACCGGTCTGCTTGAGGTCCATCTTAGTGTTTGTTGGGGGCGTCTGTCCTGCTTTTACTTCTTTCTCTGAAACACATTGGCCAACATGGCACCTGATGTTGTCAACTGGCCCATTTTGTTCAAAAACTTGGTCTTTGTATCTTCACTCACTAAGCTTGCAGCAATTGACATTGAGCTAGGAAAGAAATTTTGGCATTCATGTAAAGCAATTGAAATATCCATTTTTCCTCTTGTTAGTAGTGTCATGCTAATAAATACATTCTGAACAGGTACCACAAAAGGTAAACTAATATTTATGGGCAATTTTTAGGTACCACACTAAGTGAGGGGTTTTCATGGCTGTGGTTTATGTTAAGGAGAACAGTATAGTGGATTGATGAGGAGCAACCTTGGAACAAGGCTGAATCCTGAGTCATTTACCGGCTGTCTGACCTTGAGCAATTTTTTTTAATGTCTGCTTTCTCATCTGTAAAGTAGAGATAATGTTATTGCTCTATCTCATAGGGCCAGTGAGGGTTATACAGGTATAAGGGGCTTGTTAGCAGTGCAGGGTATGTAGCAAACTGTAAGTGTTAGGAGTTGCTCTCCTTATCAGCATCACTTCATCTATGAAGTTCTTGTCTTAATCTGTGCTGATAACAACCCCCAGGACATTCATATTCTTTTACTTTGGGAGGGGGCAAGTTCTCAATTGCCAGTTGCATAAGTTTTAATCAACACTTTCACATTCTTCTTTGATTTCACTTTTCACTTTCTTCTTTGATTTTTTTTGACCAACTTCCTGTGTAGAGAGTAAACAGAATCTAAATGACCACAAAATACTGCTTTTTCTCAACCTGCTGAACAGGGTGCTGACCAAGCACTTTATTCCTCTAGGGATCCAACAACTGTGCTGTTAAGATTCAGAAACCCAGCTTATTGACCTTGTGGCTTTGGCTGAGATGCTCTGGATTACTCTGCGTTTCCTCATCTGTAAAATGCAGATTTTAATCACCATTGCCAAATATCCCGGGGACTAAATAATAGAAAATGTTTGAGGGCATTGAGTGGCCAGGCGCAGGTGTGCAACAGGTGTCTGCTGAATCCATGCGTATGTTTGAGGCCACCAGGCACTTCTGTTTCCGAGTAGCCTTGAACGGTGTGCAGCGCGCATTATTCAGGCCCACACCCGACCACAGGCATCTAACTTGTTCCTCTGCCAGGGCAGCAGCCTGGTCTCTTCCTTCCTGTGTTTGACTACTCCTCTCCTGATGTGTTTTCCTCTTCCAAAAAGTAACCCTTCACAAGTTTCAGGATTTGGCTTTCAGTTCTTCAACTACAAAACATACTCTCAAAGTTTCATATATTGCCCCCAGAAGGATGGCTCTAAAATATTTCTTGAATCACACCTTTTTCCTGAAGGCCATATATTACTATTGTTTGCTAGATAAAGCCAATGGTCTCAAGATTTTTCTCACACTCTTTAACTTTAGAAATAACTCCCCACTTTAGAGAATGGCACATATTAAAAAAACTAGCAACAACAAATGTTGGCGAGGGTGTGGAGAAAAAGGAACTCTTCTGCACTGTTGGTGGGAGTGCAAACTGGTCCAACCACTATGGAGACTGTGTGGAGATTTCTGGACCTACTAAACATAGAGCTTCCATAGGATCCAGCAATTCCACTCCTAGGTATTTACCCAAAGGACACAGAAACATCAATTCCAAAGAACACCTGCACCCCTATGTTTATAGCAGCTCTATTTACAATAGCTAAGCTTTGGAAACAGCCCAAATACCCAAAAATAGATGACTGGATCAAGAAGATGTGGTGCATATACACCATGGAATATTACTCAGCATTCAAAAAAGATAAACACATGCCATTTGCAGCAACATGGATGGCGCTGGAAGGGATCATGCTCAGCAAAATAAGCCAGAAAGAAAAAGAAAAATACCGGATGGTTTCACTCATAGCAGTAATCTAGAAAACTTAAATAAGGGACCAGGAAAATGAATAACTATAAGAAAGTGAAAATCAAAATCAACAAAAAACTATGAACCAGAGACACTTTTTGGGGTGGGGGGCGGGAGGGGAGGGATTGGGGTCAGAATGGGGGGTTTGCAATTGTATGGGGAATATAAAAATAAAATTTATAAAAAAAACTTCACATTTTAAACAAATGAGATCCCAAATACTCTTAACATTCATGGGCAAATTATTGCTTTGGTGTTTATTTCATGGATTTTGTGTTCAGAATAGAAATCTATCAAAGTGTTTTATTGTTTTACCTTTCGGTGGCTAAACTGCAGAAGCATTCCTACAGCCCTCGTGAAAGCAAGGGTTCTGGTACATAGTAAGAAGCAAAAGGCAGTGTTCATGTGTGTATTGGGGGATAGGGGTGTGGAGGAGTTGGGGTGTGGATATGTTTACCTAACTTGATTGGATGACACATTTATTCCTGGTAGTAAGCTTTATAAAGGAAACACTTTTGAGCTTTTATGCCTAACATTTCACTTAAGATTAACTGCTTAGGGTTACTTCAGCAAGAGTTAAGAGCACACAGTAAATTATTTCTTTTCCTGAATGCCCAGCTTTACTCTTGGACATCTATGTTTGCATTTTCATGTCCCGAGTATTTGAATTCTAATTAGCTTGGTTAGAAGCATGTGATTAGAACAGTCAGAACATTATAATCCTTTATGAAGCGAACGAAGTTATATCTTACAACTCCTGCCACAAATTTCTAAGAAATGATTTTAGTCAATGATTCCAAAATCCAACTACATATTAGAATCATTTTGGAAGCTTTTAAACATACAGATCCCAAAGCTGAATCAGCAGGTGGAAAGGAGAGGACACAGCATAGGGTAGAGAGCTGAAATTTAAATTCCCCAGGTAATTTTGAGACATATGGTTTATAGATGAGCATTTGAGAGCCCCTGATATAAAGAATTTTCTTGTCTTCTAGATAAATGACTACAAAATAAAATACCATGACCATTGACAGAAAATTCAGATAGAGAAATTAGGGTTAACATGAAATCTCACAAAAAGAATTAATGTCTTACCCTTGAGGCTCTTGGACAGTCTTGTTCTCTACTTTTTGTTCACATTCTTTTATCATGGAACTTAAAATAACCTGGTTAAAAAAAATAGGCTTTAGTGAAATATAGTTTACATAGTGCAATGCTATGTTATAATCGAAAATTTTAAACTTTCCTCTTCTCCCTTAGTTTCCCCCACCATCTAATTTTAAAATTTTTTATGTATATATTATGTATTAACTATTATATATAATAATATAATAATTTAAAAGTTTATATACTTATTATATATGTTAAAAATTTACATTTATATATATATATGACATGTACAAATACATGGGAACAGACATTTTCCCAGAAAAAGCTTGTTCTGTTCCATGTACCTTTGCTTTCTCCTGGTTGCAAAGAGTAAGATGCTGTAATTTAAAGTCTACTATAAAGACCAGGTATAGGTCTGTGGCTGCTAATATACAACTGGGATAAAATGGCGTGTCTGAGAGCTAACAGCACTCCTGCAAGGAAACAGTGTGGTGGAAAGGGTGGAGGGTCTAGGTTGTTGCTCCAAATGCTAGCAACAGAATGGCCTTCCTGAATATTTGCTGGCCCATGGTGTGGGCATGGAGGTCACTAAACAACAGATACCTAATATTACCTACATGTGTAGGAAACTTATTTAGACAGAGGATACAGTTAACAAAAACAGACAAACATTCTCTCCTGGTGGAAAGCTTATGTTCCAGTACAGAATAAACACTAAAAATAGAAAAATACATAATAAACTTGAAGGTATTAGGGCTTGGAAAGAGCAAGACAAGGGGTACTAGAAGGCCAAGGTAAAAACTGCTACAGTTTATATGGCGGTGTTCAGAGCACTGTTCATAGGGAAGATGACATTTTAGCAAAACCTGACGAGATGGAAGAAGATGTGATTAGACACTGGGAGCAGTCTGAGCTGAGCAAAGGCTCCAAGATGGGAGCATGTCTAAGCAAGGAGGCCAGAGTGGTGGGTGCAGAGTGAGCAAGGGAGAAGGTAGAGAAGCCCAAGATGTAAGGGAGGAGGGGCTAGGTCCTGCAGCACCTTGCAGATGATGATGAAGAGTTGGGCCTTATTCTCACAGAATGGGACTTCTGTCATATGCATGTTGGTTTAGCGGACCAGTCCTTCTTAGAATCTATGATATCCTGCTCACACACCTAATATTTATTAGATACTTCTGTTTGGCTTTTTTTTTTTTTTTGCTTTTGTTGTTTTGGGGCAAGTTCTTTTTGTATTTTATCTTCTGTTCCCCCATTGTCTAACTCTGTTTCCGCTAGTATCCTCTTTCTTGCAGGTATATTTTCTTCTCGGTCTTTGATGTTAGAGACTTTTCTCAAGTGGCTGGTGATCTTGGGATATCCATTAAAGACTGGGACACTAAAATGCTGATTAAAATCTCTTCATGCATGAGTAACTTCACTTTAAGGTTAACCTGGTACAAACCTAACTTTTTGTCCATTTACCTCACCTCCACTGTGGGTATAGTACAGATGGCCAAAAATCCTGCAGCTAAAAAGGGAAAAGGTGATGAAATTTCTAATCACTAAGTGCTTTTACTTATAGTCCCTCTTTTTTGCTATAGCACCTCATTCCTATCTTAGCTATGCCTGATATCCCCAGTCTAGAAAATAAAGCTCTAATCTTCCATCAAGGTTGGGAAGGGAATCTGGGAGTCTGACCATTCCAAAGACTTTTAACTTTCAAAGACTCCTATTTCAGCCCCACCCTACGTAAATTTAGATCGTCAAAGAAGGCTAGCTTCTTGTTTATTCTATCCTACCAATTTTCCTTTATCTAGGATACAAACACCCTCAGCAAGATATTAGCAAACCAAATTAATGCTACATATAAAAGGAGTTACACACCACAACCAAGTGGGAGTTATTGCAGAAATACAAAGGTTGGTTTAACATGCAAAATGTCACTAATGTAGATCATTGCACAAGAGGAAAAGAAAAAACAAAAAGTAACAATACCAATCATCTCAATAGAAGCTGAAAAAGCATTTGATGATATCCAACATCCTTTCAAGATAAAAATACTTAACTAGTGAGCAATAAAAAGGATCCTTTTGGGTGCAGGAGGGGTATGAACAAAGAGGGAAGGAAGCACAGTGGACTATGGGGGGGGGTTGTCTATGGGTGATTTGGTGGTGGGTGCACTATGGTGGCAATATCTGATGGGGGTAATCAAATATTACCTCAATTGAAAATAATTAATTAATTTGAAGGAAACTTCTTCAATTTGAAAAAGGGCATTTACAAAATGAAACGAATACTAAATCTAAAAGGAGAAAATATAACTTCTAGGGCCTCCCCGGTGGCGCAGCGGTTGAGCGCTGGGTTGCGAAGCTGCCCGCGGCCTCTGTGGCGCCGGTTCGATCCCCAGCTGCTTCCTGGCCACCGGAGGAGGGTCCCACATGGCGCGCAGACCTCTCCTGCCGCCCGCTGCTCCCCTCAGCAGTGTACTTCGGTCCTTCTGCCTGCTCTGCTCCCCACTCTGGCTCTGGTGAATTCTCTCACCCTCCCGCGCTTCTGACTGTACCCAGTGCATGTATAAACAAAACAAACAAACAAATAAAATAAATAAAGCATGCCTCTATAAAAAAAAAAAAAAAAAAAAGAAAATATAACTTCTAATTATAACTTTAACAGATCTTCCAATACCTGATAGAACAAGCAGATCACCAAAAATTAATACAAATATTAAACATAAATGATAAATGCAAATGAAATATAGCAAATGCAGGGGATATGGCTAAAGGGATACTTAAGAAAAGAAGAAAAGTTTAATATAAATAATCTAAGCTTCCTATTTAAGAAGTTAGACAATATTTAACAAAAATCAAACCTAAAGCAACCAGAAATAAAGATGAAGATGAAAATCAATGAATCAGAAAACAAACAGATGAAAATCAACACAGTTAAATATTCAGTCCTGGAAAAGATTTTAATAAAATTAGTAAATCCCTATCAAAATACATAAGTTCAAAATAAAGTTATATTATTTCTATACACCACAAAGAAGGGGTTAAAAAAATAAATAACCCTAAAAAAGAGATAGCAGTATAACACTATAGATATAAGGTGTCACATTATCAAAAGACATTAGAAAAGATCTAAATAAATGTAAGACATAGCATGCTTTGGATAGGAAGAATCTAAGTCATGATAATGTTTCTCCAAATAAATTTACAGGATCAATTCCATTTTAATCAGCATATGAATGAACTCTTTCTTGGGACTTGATAAGACAATACTAAATATTTTATTATTTATTTATTTATTTATTTATTTATACAAGCACTGGGTACAGTCAGAAGCGCGGGAGGGTGAGAGAATCCACCAGAGCCAGAGCGGGGAGCAGAGCAGGCAGAAGGACCTAAGTACACTGCTGAGGGGAGCAGTGGGCGGCAGGAGAGGTCTGTGCACCATGTGGGACCCTCCTCCGGTGGCCGGGGAGCAGCCGGGGATTGAACCAGCACTGCAGAGGCTGCGGGCAGCTTTGAAACCCAGCACTCAACCGCTGCGCCACCGGGGAGGCCCAACAATACTAAATATTACATGAAAAAGCTAAGGGACAAGAATAGTCCTAAAAAAAACCTGGCAGTGTGCTGGACTTGGCCATACTAGATTTCAGGACTTTTTAATGAGGCAACCGTCATGAAGACAGAGTATCATTGTTACAGTAAGTGACCAAGAGACACGTAGGGAAGAATATTCCCCAGTAACAGATACCTACATACATGGAGACTCCATATATGACAGAGCTGGTACAGCCATCAGTACAGACAACATGAACTGTTCAATAAACAATAACAGGACAACTGGGTATCCATTAGGAAAAAATTAAACTGTGGCACTCCCTCATATCATGCATAAAATCAGTTCTAGAAGGGTCAAGAACTTTATTTTGAAAATACAACCTTGAACATTTTAAAGTGTAAGAGATTTTTGGGGAAATGATCAATCTATTTGGCTGCCAAAAAATTAAGAACGAGTACTCAGAGATGCCAAAGATATGAAAAGTCTTACGCCATATTGGAAAAAGATATTCATAAAATACAAAATTGACAAAATATTAGTATTCCAAATATATAACAAACTTCGAAGAGGTAAGAAAAGAATCCAAATGAGAGGCAAAAAACCTATACAGTGTTTGATTGAAGAACACAACTAGTCAATAGCAAAGGATGCTCAAGTTTGTTAAGTCAGGAAAATGCAAATGACAAACTATAATGAGATATCATTTATATTCACCAAATTAAAAAGTCTAAGAATACCAATGCTGACAAAGACATGGATGAACAGGGCCAGAGCTGTCAGGTCTGAAGTGTGTTCTCAGTGTGGTGCTGTCATCACCAGGGCTGTGGAGACAGCAGTCCACAGGGTTATGGCGAGGGTTGTGCCAGCGATGGGTCAACAGTGTGGAAGTTCTGAGAGTGAGTGGAGACTCTCAGAAGGAAAAAGATAGAGGGGAGGGATAAAAAGAGCTATTGTTTGTTTTGTTACATTTAAGATGAAAGAGTCAAACACAATGATAGGTCAAAGAAAAGCTGGTAGAAAAACAAGTTGACCATATAAAATAGGAAATAAATGGTAAATAGGATTTTGGAGGAACAGGAAGACCAACAGAATGAGTTGTGAGAAAGTGGAGAAGAAAGCAGGAACTTTGTTTCTAAGAAAGTTGATGGTCAGAGATAACATTGTATAGCAATTTACAGATTAAAAAATATTCATGTACACTATCTTCCTAAATTCTAATTATACTCAGTAGAGGAAAGCATGTTATTGCTATTCTGGGTACTAGAGGAGATGTTAAATCATACAAACACAGGGCTTCCCCAGTGGTGCAGGAGTTGAGCGCTGGGCTGTGAAGCTGCCCGCAGCCTCTGCAGCACTGGTTCGATCCCGGGCCACCGGCAAGGGTCCCACATGGTGCGCAGAACTCTCCTGCCTTGCCCGCTCATCCCCTCAGCAGTGTATTTTGTCAGTCTGCCTGTTCTGTTCCCCGCTCTGGCTCTGGTGAATTCTCTCACCCCCCCCACACCTCTGACTGTACCCAGTGCTTGTATGAATAAATAAATAAATCTTTAAAAAACAAACAAAAAAAACATACGAACACAGCACTGATAATCACAATGGCATTGGCATCCCAGCAGCTCACCTCATGCTCTGGAGAAAGATGTTCCATGTCAATCCGTAAACATCTGAGACCGGGTAAAAAGTGATTAACCATTAAATCCTCCGAAATGACTTGATGCAAAATAGTTAAGGAAATTAAAAAAAGCAACTATCAATAATATAGCCAACAGAATAGAAAACTATAAAAGAAGACATCTCTTAAATGCTGTTTGTGGCATGCTGATTGCTTGGAACAAACATGCTTTGTTCACATTGGACTCTCATTTGGATTAGTGTAGAGACTTCTTCTTATATTTACTCTAGTAACATTCTACACCTGTCCGAACACACAATAGTACTGAATATTTCTTCTACACAGACTTCTATGTGCTTCAGAAACCACTGCCTTGCCCAATTAAGCATTTTGGTTTTACAGAAATCACAAAATTTTCATCTTTTGATTTTCCCGAGGCCAAGAACTTTAGAAACTCTGTTATATAAGATTACATATGAGTTTTGGGCCTCCCCGGTGGTGCAGTGGTTGAGCGCTGGGTTGCGAAGCTGCCCACAGGCTCTGCAGCGCTGGTTCTATCCTTGGCCGCCGGGCGAGGGTCCCACATGGCGCGCAGACCTCTCTTGCCGTCCGCTGCTCCCCTCAGCAATGTACTTCAGTCCTTCTGCCTGTTCTGCTCCCCGCTCTGGCTCTGGTGAATTCTCTCACCCTCCCGCACTTCTGACTGTACCCAGTGCTTGTATAAATAAATAAATAAATATTAAAAAAGATTATATATGAGTTTTCACTTAAGTTTTAACACAAGACTTTCGCAAAATCTAGGGAACAGGTATAAACAAACATACCAACATTTTCTTTCTTTGAAATGCAAACTCTGCTATGCCTTTATTACTTTCTTGTAAGGGCCTCCTCACTTCTCCTTTACTAAAGAATTCTTCCTTGGTAATCCAAAATGTCACTTCCTCCTTTTGCTTCCTCTATTTTCTCTTAGTTTTAAATGCCAACAAGATAAATCAGGAATGATAGTAAGTTCTGCTTTTAGAGGAATTAAACTTACAGAAGATATACAGAGTTGCATTACAAAATTATCAAAACCTCTGCCTACTTTATAATGTGTATTATAAAAAAAATACTTATATCACCCAATAGATAGTAATGTAAGGGTCCCAAAATGAAGTGTTTAGTCAATGCATCCAACTTCAAGTGTTAACATTTCCAAAAATACAAGTAGCTCCTTAACATATAGCCTTATGTTTTTTACTTTCTCTATTTGATTATTCGAAGAAAAATAAGCTCCCTCTGGTATATTCCAGTCAAGAATCTGGTGCCAATAAGTTTCGGTGTTGTTTTGGAACAATCTCATTTTATCTAAAACTACCTGTTTACTTTATTATTACTTCAAACTGGTATATAACAATGTGGAAATACTAACACTATAAAGGGTAATCTTGAAATCTTCTGTCCTCTATTTTCTCACATGGACCACTACAAACCTCTCTCTACTGTCATTTTTTTCCTGTCATAATCATAAATCTCTGGTTATGCTGTCTAGCATGTACTTTTATAGTTCTATTTAAGGATTCTCCCTTTTACTCCTTTTTCAGTCTTTAATTTCCCCTTTCTTGAATGCGCCTGTCTTTTAATGGGAGAGGCTAGATGGTGGAGTTCACACTGCTCATCTTTTCTTCCTTCTTAGTTTTATTTCATAAGTATAGTAAAGAGAACATTTAAACAGCACAGCTAAAATTCATTGCTCTAGTCACAGTTTCACTTTTAACTATAACAAAACTGAAGCCACTAATGTCTTTAAGCTGTAGTTAACCATTTATGAAATGTAATGCCTGACTTGGGGTAGACAGTCTCTCATTTTCCTGGAGATGATTAGCCACATGGTGATATACTTTATAATTGAGTGAGGTCTACCCGGAAGATACTCATAATTTTCCACTGGATACAGATGCTTAAACATTTATACAAAAACCCAAATGCTAATACTTTGGATTATCAATAGTCTCAGCTATAATTCATGTTATAATTACAGCTCTCAGCTATAACTATAGTCTCAGCTATAATTCTTATTCAGTTATCTAGTCAGCTAACTCAAATCAACTCTAAGTCAATGTTTTCAAAACTATAAAAGCACAGAGGACTTAAAATTATCTTTTCAAATTATGAGATGGTTTGAATAAGAAAGGGGCATGTCAAATCCAATTTTTGATTTTCTACAATTCTTATATAAATTGAAGAGAGGAAATTCTGCTCCTCAACCTTTAAGAATCGAGCTTCACTGTAAAACTGGTTATCTGTAAATGTAGATACACAACAAAATAGCAAGGATACAACAACAGGAAAGTGCACTGTAGGCTTCAAAAAGATGGGTAGCAATATCCAGTCTTTTAGAATCCACAATTTGTAAGTTGTTCACCAAGGCTAACTTATGCAAATGTGGTAGGACAACTGAAAAAAGAAAAAGAAAATGCTACATTTTACTCTAAACCATGCACATCCACAATACTCATAACACTCATTCATTACAAAAACAATTTATCATTTTAAATTTATAATATATACAAGTCATTTTGTCTTATTGTGATTCAATTTCCCAATCTGAAAAATGAAAACCAAATAAACAAATATAAAAAATATACTTTTTACAAACACATTTCTTTATGAAAATCAGATCTAAGCATTGCTATTAAACACAAGCTAAACATGGTATACTTATTCAGCAACAAATCACCTCTTTTTCATAAAACTAGGGTTAGTGTCAGTTTCTCAAATTCTTAGAAGAGACAAATGTCAAAAATCATAGGTGGCTGAGTTTTCAAGTCACTCTACAGAATTAATATCTTATATCTTAAAGACTAATAAAAAATTTAAAAAATACAGACAACTAAATCTTTAACAGCTCAAGAAACAGTGACCAATTCAGCAGTATGGTGTACCCCTTGTGCCTAAATACTATGTGTTCTAAATATCATTTCTCCAGGGTTCATTGGAGAAATTGCTCCGGGGCCAGTGATGATTAACATTTTTTATCACATAGCAACTTTCTAGTCTCTTCTTGGTTGGGGAACCCAAAACACTACTCACAAGCACATACTTCTGATGAATGGTAGTGATGTCTCTCATGTTCACATTGAGTTTGTGTATGTCAAAGTCACAATCCCCTACTAGAAAAATGCCTTCTTCCTCAATTAGCTGACATTTATTATAATCACAACTTTTATGCTTACCATAGTAAATGGTAAAAACCCCCACAAAAACTTTGAATAACAATGGCCATTTGTAGGGGACTTTTTGACTTACCAAATCAGCATACTTAAGAGTTGTAGAAAAAATTGGGACACAAAAAGTTCAAACATTCATTGATTTCCCAATGAAGAAACTGAACTCCAGTTTGCTAATTAGCATGCTTAAGGCTTGCTTCAATAAAATTGCATCTCTTAACATTACCTTTCAGATTCTCTAATTCATTTCTGCTTAAATCTTTTGAAACATATCTTCCTTATCTATTCATGCATGGCTTCTTTATTCCTTCTACTTCTTCTCTGATCTCCTATATAAACAATCTTTTTCTCAGAAACTAAACAAAATTGCTTACTAGAAAACAAATCTATAGAAGTTAATTTAAACTCTGGCCTAAAGTCAGTTAAAGAAGATCTTAAAATTAAGGATCTTCTTAAATCTCAGAAGATAAAAATTTATTATAGAATTCAAGATTAATTCTTAACTAGTAACTCCTTAAATGGTTAACAGTAGTAGGATAATAAAAACTAGGAGGGTTAATGACCTAGATGTGCTCAATTTTCAATAGATTTTTGGTGGGCAAGGAAAACAGGAAATACTAAACATAAAGCTACTACTGTAAAAGCCCTTTTCTTAAGAGCAAATTGGATAAAGATTCAAAACTACCAATAAAATAAAGATAAATCAATAGGAAACTTTATAAATATAGATTACAGTAACTTAAAAAAATATTTTGAGGCAGAGCAACAGCCAAAGTAAAGGGAATCTTGCCATCTCCTTTTGCAAATAGACTTAAATATGAAACACAGAACTGTCTGAAATGTGAAATGGGATAGTACTATGATATGAAGTCTTCGTTGTAAGATTAACATTTTAAAGAGCCCTGTAAGTGAAAAGGTGAAAACAAAAAATACATGGTGATCCAGATAAGACAAATGAGCACCTGTGAAGGAAATCAAGACCAAAAGTTCCTGTGATAACTAGGAACTGTGAAAGAAAAAAAAAAAAAAAAAAAGACTACTGGAAGAACCAACGTTTTATAGTAGCTAAGAAATGAAGGAACAAATCCAAGATGCCACTCCTAGGAAGGTTTATCTCCCAGCAATGCTCTGCTTCCTCTAAACTTCCAAAGGGAATTGCCTAAAATACAGACAGTTAACAATATAGCATTATTTTTGATATGGGAACTCAACCATTAACGTAATTAACATGGGACATGACATCCCACAGGTTAAAGTTTTCAAGCAAAAGGGAAGTGAAGTAATTGAATAGTAAGTAGAAGAGGGGAAAATAAAAAACCAACCAGAAACGTCCTATTCCTGAATCCAGGAGCCAAGGCTTATTCTCCATGGCTCAGAATAAAATAAGCTTTACAGAGTTAGCCAAAGTACCTCAGAGTTTTCACTAGGATCACCTATAAATCTGATGTTAAAATGTGGGGAACTATCTCTGTTGCTAATTAAAATATTAAAACCTACTTAGTTAAATAATTGTGAAATATTGTCACTTTCTCCCCTTTCAAATTACAAATACTATTACCTTATCCAATGAGAAATAATCTCATGATTTTGTTTCTGCAGGTCAATAAGGGTTCATGCCCTCAAACAAACCTTCTGGACACTATGGTTCAAATCTTGACGTATTTTGATGACTGATCTTAAAAACAATGAGAAAATCCCAGGCTGGATATGCAATGACTAGTCTGTGGGGGGAGTCCAATTTGTACTAGAAACCAAACTGATTTAAGAAGTCAAACTTGTGGTCCTTCCTAGAGCATGTCAAATTGTTAAAAATAAGACAGCAGCAGTAGAGTAGTGCCAGTGGACATGCTTTTGGAATAATAACTACTTGATGCTTTGGTGTCACCAAAAGAAATTGTTGTCATGAGGTTGAGGTTCACAGTAGAAGAGGCAGAAACTAGATAAAAGGTTTTAGAGGACATTATCAGATCAATAGCAGCTCAATAAGCTGATAACTGACACAAAATGATGGAGTACAACAAAATGGCTAAGTGGGAGAAATTTTCTTTTAGAAAATATCACAAAAACCACAAAAATTTCCTTAAAACTAGAATTGAGTAGTAAACTCTAATACAAGGCAGCATAGTATTTTGCAGTCAACAGTTACTAAGAATTATTTAAAAAATAACTTCAAATTATGTTTATGAGTTACTTTTTGTGTCTTGAATCCTCTCACCCTCCGGCGCCTCTGGCCTGAACACCAGCTAGTGTATAAATAAAAACTAAATCTTTATGTGGTGAAAAAGGAACTCTCCTACATTGCTGGTGGGAGTGCAAACTGGTCCAGCCACTGTGGAAAGCTGTCTGGAGTTCCTCAGTTTACTAAAAATGGAGCTACATATGATCTGGCAATTCCACTCCTAGGGATCTACCCAAAGAACATAAAAACATTGATTCAGAAGACCACCTGCACCCCTATGTTTATCGCAGCAATATTTACAAGAGGAAAAACCTGGAAACAACCCAAATGCCCAAAAATAGATGACTGGAACAAGAAGATGTGGTACATATACACAATGGAATATTATTCAGCAATCAAAAAAAGATAAACTCATGCCATTCGCAGCAATGTGGATGGAACTAGAAGGAATAATGCTCAGTGAAATAAGCCAGAAGGAAAAAGAAAAATATCGGATGGTGTCCCTTATAGCAGGAGTATAGGAGAACCAAATAAGACATCAGTGTAAAAAAAAAAATAACAGCACAAAACACAACAAAGCAAAACCAGACAATTATAAACCAGAGACATACTGCGGTGGGGAGGAGGGAGAGGGAGTAGAGGGAGGGAGGGAGGAGCACAGGGGACTGTGGTGATGGTGCACGGGGGCCTTGGGGAAGAAGATTCTATGGAGACTCAATCTGAGGCAGCGGGGGGAAGCAAATATTGTCTAAAAAACGTAAAAAAATGATAAATGCTAAAATAATATATAAATATGGAGCTTAAAGCAAAAAAAATCTTTAAAAAAAATAAAAGCAAAAAAATAAAAAAATAACTTCATATTGTGTTTATGAGTTACTTTTTATGTCTTACAGCATGTGGATTACTTTCCTATAACTTACAGCAATCAGTATATAGTATCAGAACCATACACTAATAGAAATACTGGTCAATCCAAAATAACCAAATTGTTTGACTTTCAGCTTTCACTATGTGAGAGAATGAGAGAAATGTAGGAATACTTTATTTAACACATGACAAATGATCAGAGAAGCTATAATTCAGAGGAAAAAAGCAGAAAATGTAACTTACACTCATCTCGGAATCTTGGTTCTGCATTAGGCCCAACTCTACCGAATGTTTTTATGATCTCCGTATGCAAAGAATACTGGTCTTGATACTGAGGATCTTCCAGGAAAGAAGCCAACTGCATTTTCACTCTTTCCAGCAACTTAAAATTGGATATTGTACAGTCATTATATAGAATATTAAAAACTGAGTAGAATTGTTTAAAAGAAAGATACACATGAAATATGGTTTGCAGCACTGGTTACAAATGATTTATAACAACATGACAGTAGAAATTTGGAATTAAAGAACTACTTATTGAGTGTTTTGGCTCAGAAAACATTTCACATTTTTGCTTATGTTTATTAATTGTTCCCTTTTTTGTTTATTAAAAACACAAATATTCCCTGACAAACTTGAAGAACATTAGTAAAGACAGGAGGTAAGTTTATGAAGATTTTGTACTTAAATAATAATTTTTGTCCTCCCTCACCCCTCTTAAATTATAATTTAAAAAACACATCACAGGGCCTCCCCTGGTTGCGCAGTGGTTGAGTGCTGGGCTGTGAGGCTGCCCGCAGCCTCTGCAGCGCCGGTTCGATCCCTGGCCGCCGGCGAGGGTCCCACATGGTGTGCAGACCTCTCCTGCTGCCCGCTGCTCCCCTCAGCAGTGTACTTCATTGGTCTGCCTGCTCTGTTCCCAGGTTCTGGCTCTGGTGAATTCTCTCACCCTCCCGCGCTTCTGACTGTACCCAGTGCTTGTATTAAATAAATAAATAAATCTTTTAAAGAAAAAAAAAAAAAAAAAAAAAAAAAACAACACATCACAGTGCAAGTCACCCAGTTTTTCACCTTCTCAAAGCAATGAGTCATTAATGACTTACATCTTACTCACATTTCCCTAAAAGATATTTTTATTTTGGGATTTGAGAACATGTTGAAATTCAGCTAAGACTGCAAGCATTGCAAAATGATGGCTTTTAATGTTGCTTTACCAGAGAAATATATAAGTGAAAAAATGAAAGACATATCTTTCCATAACTAAGACATTTAATTTTTGTTATTAAAAAAACCCAAAATGACAAAGGGATTTTACAAATAACTCTTCCTTTTTGATGAAAAGTCTATTCAATGGAAAACCTTGTTTTCCACTTAAGTGAAGAGGTACCAAGTCCACAAATATTTATTTTCTAATCTATAGGGGTTTTCATTTGTGTAAGGACATTTCCAATTTGATAAAAGAATGACACTATGATACTAAATTCTGAGAAGTGTCTTACAGGTAATGCCACAGATAGAACCTAATAGGCTGGAAATTAAATCGTGGTTTCAGAATCAAAATACACTTCAAAGTACAAACCAGAGTACACGTTTAGGGAGGAAGACCTTGACCGTCCCCTAAAGCAGACATAACAAAGGGTTGTCATGGCTGACATGGACTGTGATAAGAGGAGCCCAGCCAACAGGAGGACTCAAGGATTGAGCCCAATAACACCCCATAAGCGTGACATACAGGTGCCGTCAGCCTTCAGTTGTAAACTGAGGTAGTTTTCCTTAAGATTGTGTTTCTAAGGTTATCTGTCAAAATAGTCTTCAAATCTGTGCAAATAGGCAGTCAGGAATTTGTGGACACTGGTCAGAAGTTACTGGATAATTGATGACTTTGGAACTAGAGCTAATTTGAAAATTTGAAACTAGAGCTAATTTGAAAATAGGTTATTCAAAACTGTCACACCCAGCTAGACTTAAAACAGCTGAGAGTTGGCTTATACTTAATTTTCTAATTGAGAAGAAGACTAGAGATTCCTTAAGAATGTGAAAATATACTTTGGCCAAACTACATGCTTCCACATACAGAGCTCCTCCTCTACTCCATAACTAAGAAACAAATGAAAGGCATGATGTTCCTGACCCCTGGGCAGATGTGTGATAACACATCATCATCATCTCCGTAGCACATAAATATAGAGAAAATGCAATCATGTCCTACCTCTCTTTGAATAACTGTTTCCATAATGGTGCCAAAGGCTGGAATTGTGGCAATCCTGACCGAGCTGTTAGAATTAAAAAAGAAAAAAACTGAAACTTTCTTAGAGACAAAAAACTGATTATTAAAATGTATATCAAAGTAAGTATAAGGTAAATACACTGTATTAGCCTCTAGCAATGACAAAATAAATTTAAAAAAAAGCAGACCAAGAAGAATGCTCAAAAAGACAGACAGGATAACTTAAGGTCGCAGTCTGTGAAACTCACAATTCAGGATCACTGGACAAGGTAACAAGGGCCGGAGCAACCCGCTTGTCAACTAAAGCTTCACTCATGCCTCGAAGAGTCAGCTGTAAACCAGTCAACATGCAATAAAAAATGGTTTGGTAAACTGGAATGAGAACTGGGTTAGCTGTGACTGAGGATGGGCAGGCAGACTCACTGGCCTTTCTTGGTTTAGTCACCCACAGGAGACATTAAAATGTTAAGCCTCTGGTTCATGCCCCTACACCTACTGATAACAAGTTAGTGAGATTAGCAGAGCATCCCTTCTTGGCTTGGAAGAAATAGTCCATCAGCATGTTTTAAGTTTTAGGAATGTTTCTTGAAGACTCATATGACAGCATTTTTTTTTTTTTTTAATACATGACCTCCAAATTAGGCTCACATTGTGAAAGATGACTTAAAAAAGACACATGAATAGTAATATGACAAAGTTTAAAATCAAGTAAGCATACTTCATTATTATTTTAAAGAGATAAATATATTCTTTAATAGATATAAAAGCTGATGGTTATTTCTTGACAGGCATATTTTGAAAGGATACTGAATGTAAAAGGCAGGGACAACACTTACATTTCAGGGTCACTGGAGAGGGTAATGAGAGCAGGAACAACTCTCTGAGCTACCAGAGTTTCATTCACCCCCTTCACCAACAGCTGATTGGTCAGCGCAGGGGGTAGTCACAGGTGATGCATGGAAAAGAGCAAACACAGTGCCACGGGAAGAGGAAAGGAACAACCAAGAGAAAGAGAGAAAACACAAAAGCAAAACCAAAATTAGAAGCTAAGCAAATATTGCTACTGGAATGCTTTATAAAGGCAGAGAATGCTTAGAAAGAAAATAAAGCTAAAATAGCCTAGCAGTCCACAAAAAACAGAGTATGTCATCAATTCAATGGCAGTTTGTACTTTTGGTCAAATAGAATGTAATTTCCATGTTCAATTAAAATGCAATTTAAAAGAAAGCTTTCTTTTTTTTTTTTTAAGAAGCCAAGAAGAAGACACATATTGAATTCTATGTTTAAAGTTCTCAAAGTAACTCATGGCCAACAAGGTACAAACTGGACTGTTTTTAAATCCAACTCAAATGGCTAGCAGACACCACTAAATTGCTTCTGATAGTTCTATAGCAGGTACATTTAAAAATCACATAGGAAAACTCCCGACCTTTTACATCAATTTTCTTTTTTGAGGTACGGAGACATAATGTAGCCTAGTGCATAGTATTACCCATGGGAATCGGATCTGGGTTCAGACTCCAGTTCTCCACTTATTAGTGTGGTATAACCTTACATATATTACATACTCATTTGAAACTCAGTTCTCTCATCTGAAAATAGTGACATTATCTATCTAAAAGTACTGTTGTGCTGCTAGCTTGCACATACTATACCTAAACATTGTGTCTGACAAAGACTAGGCATTCAAGAAATGGGGGTTTAATATTATAACTGTTTTCAAGGATGTAAGATTTGTGACATATTCAAAAAAATAAGTTATTTAATTGGTCTTTTTTGGGGGCTGAATCAAATTGTAAACATTTACAAATAGTTCTTTGTTTTATATTTCTACAAAAGTTCTAACACACTTAAAAGTAAATGCAATGAGCATAAGTAGATCTTTTTAATCTAACAAAAATAATTCATTCAGCAAGCCACCCTAAATTATAGAGTAAGAGGACAATATTGACAGTATGTATTTTGTTTTTAACAAAATTACTGAAATTTTATGAGTTCAACAGAGAAAGGCAATATTCTAATCCTACAGCTTCAATTTCAAAATGTAAAACAGATGAATCCTAAATGCTAGTCAATCTGTTCACCTTGTAAAGGAAATAGTTTATCAAAGATGGAAGATATCATGGAAATTTTAGTAATTAAAACCTAATACTGTGCATATATGGTAATACATTCCTCCTCTGCAACACATCAGAGCACAGAGCTTACTTTAGGTGAAGGTTCTAGATTTTGTAACAATCAATTACCAGTTAACAACTGACTCACTTTAGATAATGGATAATAAAGCAGGAATAAAATGACAGGTAATTTTGTTATTTCCTTAAACATTACAGTTATAAGGTTTAAAGAAAAAAGACAAATAAGTTCAAATACAGCTGAATAACACTTTCTTCTCTGTATCACTTTAAAAATAAGACACCTTAGATTTGAATCAGTAGAGTGTACCCTGAAATGTCTGCTCTCTTGTGTCAACCAAAAAGCATTAAAAAAAAAAAAGGGACAATCTAAGGGACAAGTTAAGTTTTCATTTATTCTGGGTTTTAAAGTTTAATTTCTTTATTAAGATAGAAAACCAGAATTGATCAATTGCACACTTTATATGCAATATATTGATCTTTAAATCTGATGAAGTAAGCGTAATTATGACTTGACAGATGAAGAAATTGAGCCTAAGAGAAGGTAAGTAGCTCGTTCAGGGTTTTAGTCAGTAAAAAAGTAGAGCTAGAAAATGAACTTGATATTTCTTGGTCTTTGACTAAGATCAAATGTAGAAAATGGACTCACATCTGTCTTTAAAAAAAAGACCTAAAAAAGCCTTTTTTGCATTATGCTCTAATGTTAATGACTTCTTTCCTTATGAGTGATGTAAGAAATCATTATGTGAAGTTATTTTCTGCGTCTTTTGGGAAATTCATTATGTCATTCTAGGAGTCACATGATAAAGTAGCCTAATCAACTCCAGCACTAATTTACTACTTAAAAATATATATATATATTGCCTCTTTTTGAACAAGGACTGAAATATGACTGATTGGGTTTCTGCCTGAAAACTAAGACCTAGATTTAATGTTCGTTTTTACCAAGTATTTCGTGTTACTGATTTATCATCTCACATTCTTCCAACAGTATGTGGTCTCATATTTAAATTTTAAATTATAAGTGCTATTTTTTGTTGTAATTTAGAATGAACCTATTTTGAGAGGAAGTAAGAACAATTATAAAATATCAGTATCAAAACAAATTTTATAATGAAGTTTGCTTGTTCTTAAATACAGTTTTGTTCAAACTAAGAGGCATTAAAAAATAGGTAATTTTAATTTTTCTTACTGATGCCTTTTACTGACATGCTCAGTGAAAATTTATGAGTAAATTTGAAAAAATATGAAAGTGTCTGAAATTAGAGTCAGCAGTTCATAATCAACCTGAGAGAACACTGAAAGCTGCTTAAGCATTAGATAGAGTTTTCAGACCAGCACTAACAGCAAACATATAAACCAAAACCAGGCAAAGCCACATGTAAGAAATAAGGCAGAAAAAGCCAAAAAACAAACAAACAAACAAACAAAAGGGAGGATGCTTCCTTTTATTTATTTCATTTATTTTCTTTTATTTGGTATGCTTCACTAGTTCATACATACATTTTAGAAACAAACTGTATACAAGAAAGCAGTAGGTTTTAAAATCTTTATAGAATAAAGTCCTATGAAGAAAGCATATTTAAGAAATAGCTCTTCATTAAAATGATTTATTTTCTTTCTTGGGAAGAGGGGATTAAAGAAAGACTTTTTTTCTTTCATGATAATGCCCCTTTTTTTAGCACAATGAATAATCAAAAATTGTTCACATCTGAGTGAAACTTGCATTAGACATTAAAGCAAACCTATAATGTGGCATTTCCATTAACAAAGACTTGATTAAAATTTTTTTAAATCAAATATATAAAAACTGAAGACTTTTCAACTTCCTGATAATAATGGAATTTTCTTTGGATTTCACAGATCTATATTTATTTAAGAGATTTAGGATATATATATTTTAAATATATCAGTACCCTACCATTCCAATTGCAATTTATCTCAAAATATGGAAAAATTCTGAAATTCAGGAAGAACTGAATGATCCAATTTTTCATACAGAAATAAATTGTTTAAAATATTTTAAGAGTCACTTAAATAAATATTATATGATAAATATATGATCACTGATCATTACTAAGCTCTTATTATGTGCTGGGTACTGTTTTAATGGATTTGCAAGTATTAATGCATTTAAAATCAGTCAAATTCTTTGTGATAGATACTTATTATTATTTTTATTTTGTGGCTGAGGGAACTAAGGTATAGATAAGTTCAAACTTGCCCAAATAATTTATGAAACCAGTAAGTGGCAGAGCTGGACAATGAACTCAGACAGTCTGCCTGTATGGCAAGACTCTACTGAAATAAGAAACACTCTAATTGCAGTGCTCTAATACCAGTTCTGAAAATATATTAAAAAGATATAAATACACCAGGCTATGGAAATTTTTTCTATGATGGGTATAAAAGACAGGTATTTTAATTTTCATACCTAAGTAGCAATTTAAAAAAATCTAGTTAAATTATAAGAACATCTCTCTCTTCTAAGTCTATGGGAAGTTAACTTATAGGGATTATATTCCGGGTATGATATGTGAAGAAACAGTGAAGGTGGAGTAATCAATAAAAATAAATATTTCCATAATTACAATAATTTTCTAAGGCTATTCATGAATTCAACTATATTTTATAACTTGAAAGATACCCTATGTTGTTGTAGCTTATTTTAGTAGTTATTTAGCTCAATAACCAGAAAAGTATAGTAAGAAAGATTTACAGACTGGAAATGAAGAATTTAAAAGAATATTTGAGAAATGGAACTGGCTATAGAATAACATCCAAGGAACCAATAAGGCTACAAAACATTCTAGTATATGTCAAAGCTAATTTCTGCCCCATCACACAGTACACAACTAGTACATAACTGCTCAATGTCATCAAATATACATCAACATAGCATAGTATGCAGTCTTTTTATTTTTAAAAAATTCCCATTTCCCTCTCCAAAGAAAATCATGATATATGAACAAACAGCAGCATTTGTTTACATACCTCAAACATTCTAGCAGCAGTGCACCTCACGAGGGCTGAAGTATGGACAACACCATACCATAAAACAGTTAACAATAACTCATGGTAGGCGGGATTTGCACTGAAAGAAAAAAAAAATACTGCACAAATAAAAAGCCATAGTGCCTTACTGGTATGCTGAAAAATACCATATTTATAGGGATTATTAATGATAAAATTATTGGCAAAACATATGGAATTATTTTGTATAGTTCAATAGGTCACTTCTAAGATTCTTTAAAAAGGAAGTCACCTTATAAGGTGATAAACTTTCAGGATATTTGGAAATTTTACTTTTGGCTTCTCTGAGCATTTGCAATTATAACAGAAAATGCAACTCTTTAAATAACATGAAAAGGAAAAAAAAAAAAAAAGTAATAAAATTAACCTGTGAGAAAAAAGGGAAAGAATCAGATGGGTAAACTCTGGGGTTTTAGTTTCAGCATCTACAAAAATTGGTGAAGCAATGATCCATGTCCTATTTATGTCAAATGGTTGTTAATGAGGCAAGTAAGATCAGCTCAGATCATCTATTGGGAAGGGTAACTGGCTCTGAGGCTTATCCAAATGTAAGATGGTATTAATAATAAATGCATTAGTTTTCAGTAAAGGCTGAGCTGAAACTACTTTAAGTAGCCAGATGATGTCATTATGAGAGGTAGCACTAACAGTATCAAATGGAATGGGAAAGAAGGCTAATTAATGAGCTAGTTTTGGGGTTATTTTCCATTAGGGGGAAACTAAATTTTCTTCAAATTTGAACTTGATTTTATTTCTCCAATTGCTTCAAAGAAAACATGTATCTGTGCCCTTTCCCCAATTTTGTTAATATTTTATGAAAATACATACTTAATGTAAGAATATTAAAAAGGCACAAATAAGCAAAAACCAAAATGAAAACAGCACCTTAAGTCTCACACCAAGAGATTTGGTGTGTATTCCAATCTTTTCAGACTGAAAGTATGTATTGCATAAATCCAATTTAAAAACTTTTTATATAATTTAAAAAACAATATAGACTATTGCTTTTACCCTAGTTCCACAAATGAGGCCTTCAGGCTATCAAGAGGAGCATGAGATAATGAAAGTAGGGTCATTACGTCTTCTAAGAACCCAACTAACAGTTTTCGGTCTTCATCCTACACAGGAAAAAGATGACAATGAATTTTCAAGCAATCAAGAACTAAAAATCACAATTTCCTATTTATAATTAGAAAATGTTACAAACTAAGAAGAAAATATCCTAATTTGGGAGCATTGTAAAGATATTTGTTAAACATGTCTATGATCATGTGGTGTGAGGACAAGCTATTAATGTTATATGGCTTAAAATAAACTACACACACAATTCTGTATGTATCTATACCATGAGGTAGTTTTAGAAACTAACATTGAAATGTTTAGAAGTATACGGTGCCACTTTAACAGAGCTGGAACTTCTAGTGCCAGGTAGCAAGTGATACTGTAGAACTATACTTTTAGTATTGTTAGACTGTTCTAATCTGTTTTAGAGCAAGAGTACAATATATAAGAATTGCTGTACTTTGAATTCACAGGTCAAAAGAAATAAGTTTTATTTATCAGTGGGGGAAAATTCAGGAAAAAGGGTACTCTTTTTTGATTCCCATATTCTAATTTCTAAAAATACTTTATCCTGAGTCTACATTTTCACCTTGCTGGTTAGACTGTCTCACACTTAAAAATAACTACTAGGTTTTAATAAGCACTGTGTGTTATTTACTTAAAATAATATTAAGTAAGTAGTGTGGAAGTCTGTTATATGGGTGCACCACGAAGAATCACTCCTCCTGGTTCACACCCTCCGGAATCTGGGCTGGGCCTGTGATGTGATTTAACTGACAGAATGAGAGGTACTGACAATGTGCCAATTCCTGTCTAAGCCTTAGCCTAGCAGATTCTGCTTTTGTACTCTTGGGAGTACATGGGCCAGCAACATAATAAGTCTGGCTTTTCTGCTCCAGAGAGGCACTACGAAGGGACTAAGACATGGAGACTGAAGCTCAGTCATCCCAGCTCTGCCTTCTGATGACCAATCAGTTGAAGGCAGCATCAAATCTGTACTTGATTTTATTTCAAGTTGAAGCTGAAGGAGTAATAAACAGTGAAGCAAAGTCCATAAGCAACTAAAATGGTTACAAAATTATGCTTTGGGGCAGTTTATGATATAGTAACAATAAAGAAAAATAAAGTACTACTGAAAAGTATTTTACTAAAAAGGATGATAAAATATGGTATTCTCAATCATTTTTTAGCTTATAACATGTACTGTTTATTCTTTAAGAAATTAACATGCAACACAAACTGTGAATAAGCACAATCTAATACTGGTAACTAAATAACAATAAGCACACCATCTCCAAGTTTATCTGTTCAACTGAAATCTGACTCATTTACTATTTAAATATGTTCTCTACTATAAATAATTTATGAAGTAAATAATTTTCCTTTATGGGTAACATTTTCAATTAATGTACATAATGAAAAGACATGCTATCTTTCTAACTGCAAGTACTTTTACAGGAAAATGAAGATTTTCCCTTACCTGAATATAGCATGTGAGCACTCCTGTTGCATAAATGGGAACTGTAGCTTTAGTGAGCACCCCATTTCCTGCTGAGGAATCTAAAATCATTAAAATAATTTTTTAAATTTGAGTGTATTTTAAGTGTAAAGCAAAAAGCCACAATGCAAATTATATTTATAATGATAACTTATCGATAGAAAGTTTAGAAATGAACAGGAGCATTACTTTGGAAATTGTGATTAAAACATACACTGTTATTTGTAAAAAAAAAAAAGATACCCCTTTACAGAACCATTAGCATAAATATTTCTGATAGAAGGAAAAACCTTAATAAACAAAATGAGATGCTATATATTTCTACTTCAAGAATCAGAAATTAGTTTGCTTTTAGAGTCTCTCCAATGCCTGTATAAACACACTGATCTTCATCAATTTTTTTATACTTTCAATTTTTAGCACTCAGTAAAATGTAAAGGCACTACGGTGGAAAAGCAGGCGCCCAGATACATATTATTTAGTCAGCTTTCGGACATGAAGCTAACCCAGTACTGACCTAACTCCAGAGCCCTTTCCACACCTTTCTCTAGGAGTTTTCAGTCAGGCAGAGCCTGGATTATAATTATGGAAGAGGAAGGAGTAAGGCAGGAGGAAACATCCTAGATAGATGAGCACTCTATGGTAAAATAAGAGATTTTCTTATGGGGTATCTGTAGATGATTTCAAAAGAAAAGTTTCTGAGCTAATAATGAAATGACAATTACTATTGATAGCACCAATGCTCCCGTTTATTGATCATCAGGCACTGTTTCAACTACACACTCAAACCTTTCTATTATCTTTTTCTATTTTAACTTGGTTTTAAATTCTTTTCAGATATAGAAAGAGTTGAAAATCAAAATCAACAAGCAACTATAAGACAGAGACACACTGGGTTGGGGGAGGAGGGGGGAGGGATTACGGTCAAAACAAGGGGGGTGGGAATTATATGGGGACGATAACCAAGATGAAAAAGCATACATTGTGCAAAAATGAAAAATGATGTAAAAAATATATAAAATAAAATGTTAAAAAAAAAAGGAAAGAGACTTGAAAAGATTTATTTAACCAACTACCCTACAGAATTTTCAGCAAAACAGGAAGTTTCCATGTTCATATCAATTCAATTTTGAGGTTTGTTTGTTTATTCCCTGGATAAAGAGTAATTTTTTCTTTGGGGTTGATGAAATGTGGCTGTGGTAGTTGAGAGGTAAATCTGAGGCTAGAAATATAAACTTAAGTTGAATAAATAGACTATACATACATGGGTTAATAGTCTATAAACAATTAAAAATTCATAGCTAATTAATAATTTTAAATTCTGTAGTTCCTGATAATATTTCAACTTCTGCAATAATTCATCATCAGAAATCAAAATTAAACAGATAATACCCACTAGTAGGCAGCCCAACATTTATCCTTTAAGAAGTTATTAAATATAACCTGCAGGAAGCACATGCAAAATATCTCTTCAAAACTTTCAAAATTTAAAAAAAAAAAAAAAAGAAAAAGAGTCCTTTATATAGGACTTCATACAGCCTAAAATGGGGTTTTCCAGATCACTTAAATCAAATCACTAAAGGACTAGGAATTATCTACAAAATGAAGATCAATCTACTTTAAAAAAAAAAAAAAAAAAGAGGGCAATACATATTTTCTTAACATTTCCCACCATTTATTACTTGAAACTGCAAAAACACACAAAGACAACATGAGTCACACACAAGTGAGTTCTTGTGCCAATGGTGCTGCAATAACTAGACTTCTTAAGACAGATAAGTGAAAACTATCAACAGGGGGGCAGGACTTGTCCATTCAAGCCTGAAGTTTCTTTAAAATCTTACATTTCATTTTAAAAATATGTATGGATTCTTGCATTCTATAGCATTATTTATTTGTTTTAATGTTTAAAAGGCTCAAATAACTCATTATGAATGGGATACTCTTTATTTTATAGTTTGTAGTATCTTGAATATGTTACTTCAAACCCCAAAGGGTAAAAAAAAGTATTCAACTGACCCTCTCATTTTGAGAGGGTCAGCCTTAGAGCAATTAGATTACAAAGAAGACAGATATTTATAATCAAATTGATAAAGATTAATTTCATTAACACTTCATGGGAAGAATAGTATATAAGTCACAATTGTAAAACAAAGAACTCTGTAATATAAATTTTCCTTTTCAAAGACTTTAGAGATTCAAAATTTTTTAAAAGTGGTAACACACTTACCAATGTTTTCTTCAGATAGTCTTAAAATCTCCTGAAATTGAGGCTTGACCTAAGTAACCCAAAGAAAAGAGCCAAAAAGTTCAGGTTCAATGGACCAATTAACTAATGTATGATTAAGTAAAGAAAAGGTCTACTACAACTCCAGCAGCTACTGCTGTTGCTGCTGCTGCTATTACTACTATTTGTTTGCTTTATAAAACCATTGACTCAAGTGGTCTGAAATAATTCTTCATTAAAAGGCTAACGATAGAAGAAAAGTCAAGTTACTGAAAACATCTTTAGATAAAATTAAAAAATATATATTCAGGTAGCAACATTTTCTGAGTGGTGTTTGGTCTATCACTAAGTTAATACAATTTCCAAGATGATTGTAAATGTTAGAAATAATGCATGCTAAAACTGAAACGGATGACAGAAAGGTAATTCAGGTACTTATAACATTATGCTTAGTATTATTAAAAAAACACTATATTTAAAAGGACTGAAAGGAAATTCCATTCAGTTAGTAATTCAATAATTTATTCATCATGTGATGTGATATACACCTGTTTAGATTTGTCTTTTAGTTTTATTTCTATAAAATTTAAATAACAAATACAGAATTTAATATTTTAAGTTAGTGCCACTGCTTGTTTCAATTGTTTATTATTAACATGCTCCCACAGATTTCAGGTCACTGAAGCCAACTACTTACTGTTAAATGCTTAAGTAGACTCCTACTTGCTTTTGTAAAAAGATGTCAAAAATGTTGCCAATACAGATAATAATAAAATCAAATTTTATTCATTTAATATCTAGATGTTAGCAAAAAATATAAAATGATGTTGTTTGTTCTTACAGAAACATTAAGATCTGGTTTTTGCCCTCCTTTTGGTAGGTCAGGCATATTAATTTATACATTCAACCTAAAGTGAGGGGAAAGATCACTGCTAAAAGATTAATCTAGAGTATTTTAGTTATGGAATTAAAAGAAGCAACTTCACTTCACACAAATAAGACTAAGTGCAGATAAATCACTTTTTATAGGTCACACACACAAGGCCTTAACCCTAAAATTTTACTATATGAAACATTTGATTGAAAAACATTTTAAAGTGCTTATTTTTTCTGAAGGCATTTCAAAAATAGCTTTATAAATTAACAAGCACTATGTCTTTGAATTGAAAGAATAATAAATATTCTTAAAGAAAATTTGGAGACACAAAAAAGTACAAGTAAGAAAAGCAACCCCTAATCAAAACAGAAAAGCTACTGGTAGCATGGCAATGTATTGGCTTCCAGCTTTTCCTGTATGTGTACAAATGCGTACTAAATTGGGAATATGTCCTAAGTAGGCTGCTTAAATATGCTTTAAAAACATTATTTAACCAAGAAAGCAACATTTTATTTTTTCTGTGTTGAGTGCTAGTGATATAGAATTGTAGAGGACAAACGATTTTACCTTGAATGTTTCAATAACTACACTGAATGTTTCAATAACTACACATTACGGAGTAAATAGCTGCCTAAAATTCTTACCTTTTAAATGTCTTGATTAACATCTGACTATATCAACTACATCTTTTTACATTTTTATTAGGTCCCTAAAGGAACATGTTATGAAGAAAAATGAGTTAACAAGATTAAAGAAGAAACTGGGATTGGAGGACTTTATAACTTTAATATCTAAAACTACAAAATGACCTGGAAAGGCAAATGTTACAAATGGTACTTTTGGTAGTGACTGAAATACGCAGTATTCATCTCAAGTGTCCATGTTTTTCTATGACCTAGTATCCTGGTTCAAGCAAGTCTTCGGTTCTATAACTGCATTCAGTTTTGACCACGGTGTGCAGAGCAAAGAGTTGCTTCTTGAATCCATAGCAGACAGTTAAAGTAACAAAGCACATGTGGCCCCTGGCTGATACTTCCTAGGTTGGAAATATTTTGAGATATTTACAGAGAGTAGGTCTTATTTCCAATGCTTGCTATAAACTAAGTTTAAGCTAAATCATCTTCTGAAAAATCAATATAGGACTATTAACAACAAGAATTTTCTTTTACTATCATAGCATTCTAAGATATTAAAAAATAATTAAAGGAAGGGCTCATCTTTTAATTTACTCTGTTACAGCATTAATTAACACATTACATTTCTATGTCTCTTGCACATAAGAAAACATGGAATACAAATTTTTACCTTAGTGTTTGTAAAAATTTTGCCAAATGTCCGGCAAAGGCGCCAGAAAAATCTGGAGAATTCATGGACACAGGCAGTTGAAGTAACATTAATTTTGCCAACTATTTCTATAAGTTGTGGCAACCTGAATATGAAAGGAAAGAAAAATAGGCAGGGGACACATAAATTACTGTTTCCTTGCCACTTTGTGAAACAACTTAAATCTAACAATCTCTTCTGTTCTGCTCTTCATAGCCAGTAAAATTTTAAAGTAAAGGAGCTGTTTTGGATCCTTTGAAAGGTTTTAAATTCATATTCTCCTTTATAAACATCTGAAAATAAGTTTTAAATGTTTGCTATTAAGTATATGGAACCCTAATGGTAAGAGTTTTGAGTGTGGAGTTAAGGAGACTCAAATCTCTAGATTTGATGCTTCACCCAAGTGATTGGCTAAATACAGAGCATCCATTTTAGCTTAAAATCAAAAACTTGCAGGTAGTTTATAGAGGCAGCAGACAGAGATCCTTTGATGTAACACAGCAATACCATTTTCTTTGATAGACAAGTACATATCCAGTGGTGTAGAGAGATTTACAAAGACGATGCCAAGTTATATTTTGTTATACTGTTTAAATTTTGGTATATTTTTTTCCCTCAGCGTCAAGACTAAATATAATGAGCTACCGTCTATTCAACTGATTAAGATGTAACAAATGAGTTTGGGGTGGTAACTTACAATTGATTGACAACCCATAGTAAACTCTCCCAGCCTGTTGTACCCTCATGTTCCAGCTGGTAATCATAAAGCTGTAGCAGCACTGCCAATTGCTCACGGCTTCCAATAATAGCAGACACATCTTGAAGAGGCGACATAGGCCGAGGGAACCTTGTCACTATAAATAAGCAGCAAAATAAATAAATCACATGGAAAATAAAATGGCTGGCTGGGAAGTTAGTTACTCTGTCAAAAGGAAAATAGTTTCTTCAGGTATTTAACTTTAAATATAAAATTAAAATGTAGGAATCAAATCATTTTTAGAAAAAAGAAATTAATTCTTAGCACATGCGAGCAAATTAAATAAATTTCAAAAACTGAAAAATTTTATTAAAGTTAGTAAATATCTAGGTGAAATTAAAAGTAGTGCAAACTTAAGATCTCAGCTAAAATATGGATTTAAATTTGTTTTTTTTTTTTAAAAAAAATTCACCAAAATGTTTATATCAATGCAATAGTAAATATAAGTTTCCTTTAGGAAGTAAGAAATTAATAGGTTAATAGCATAGAAAAAAACCAGTATCAGAGAATAATGATATGAAATACATTTAAGCTTGAACTTAACAGGCTTCTTTAGTATTTACTCTCCAATATTAAATAACTTATTTATAAAAAAAAATCTCCATAGGGGCCTCCCTGGTGGTGCAATTGGTTAAGACACAACCTATGAAACTATGTGCAGCCACTGCAGCATGAGTTCGATCCCTCGCCAGGGAACTACCCACATGGCACAGCAGACTTCTGACTCATCCGCTGCTCCCCTCAGCAGCATATTTCAGTCATTCTGCCTGTTCTGCTCCCCACTCTGTCTTTGGTGAATCCTCTCACTTCCCCTACCTCTCGCCTATACCCCAGTTCTCGTATACATTAAATAAATAAATCTTTAAAAAAAATCTCCATAGTTGGACAGATGTCAAATACAAAGAGTTAAAGTCAGCCAATGACCCGTAAAATAAGGCAAGTGTACCCTAAATACTATAATCAGGGTGTCATGTATATATTTTAAGGTCTTGAGAGAAAACCAAAAAAGAACTTTTAAAATTATGTAAATAGGGCTTCCCTATTTACATAATTGGCGCAAGGGATTAAGCACTGCACTATGAAGCAATTTGCGGCCTCTGCAGCATGAGTTCGATTCCCGGCTGGCCAGGGAGCAACCCACATGGCACAGCAGACCTCTCCTGTCTGGCCCGCTGCTCCCCTCAGCAGTGTATTTCAGCCAGTCTGCCTGTTCTGTTCCCCACTCTGTCTCTGGTGAATCCTCTCACCCCCCACATCTCTAACCTGTGCCCCAGCTCTTGTATGCATAAATAAATAAATCTTAAAAAAAATAAAATAAAATTATGTAAATAAAACATGACTATACTTAAAAGTTTGAACTTTGAAAGTTGAAACACATCAATTCATTCTATGATTAGAGTCATAATTAGATCCCAGACTTCATGGATGGCTAGTAAATGATTAATACAGGCCAAGAGCTCATTAACTTGGTGAGACACTCTTAATGGCCCAAAAACCCCTACACAGAAGCTAACACCCTAAAAACACACAGACACTCTAAAATATGGCATTTTCTCAAAGCACTAATGGCTTAATGATAACGTAAATTTAAAATGCTGAAAACCTCAAATTAGATGTTATTACCTTCCTATTCTGCCCCATGTTTTTAACAGAATAGGAAGTACCTGTTAGCTGAACTTGCCTACCTGCTATTGTGATGCACAAATGAATATGGACCAACATTCCTCACTGTCAGAGGAATGTTATTTGTTAATTTAGGAATCAAATCAAATAGATTTGGATGGTAAGGGATATTTACACTTCATATTTTTATATCATGTCAAGGTATGTCTGATATAATTTCAAACAGGTTATATCATATTGGTCACAATCTATTCTATGATGGAATGAATGTTTTCCCTTCCTGAAAAATAATGGAATAATTAAAAGTAAAATAGATATGTCAAGATTTATTGTAGGAAGAGTGAGGTACAAAGATTTAAAACTAGGTCCAACAGAAGCAAAACAATATCAGGAAATAAGCAACTACTTGGATAACTGTTATTACAAGCAGAATAGTTCAGGAACCGCAAAACATTATTGAATTTAACATTAACATAATTTTAAAAAATTGAATACCTAATATAACAATATAAAAAGTTTTCCTGAAGGCCATTTTAATAAGCTGGCAAAACACCAGCATTTTATTATCAACAAAGTAACCACACTATCTAGGAAAAACAGCTGCTACAAATCTTTAACCTCCTGCCAGAATACAAACTCTATGATGACAGAGATTTTTGTGTATCTTATTCATGAGTGTATCCCAAGTGGTTAATTTAGCGCCAACTGTAAATATTTGCTAACCCTGCAGAATAGATAGGTAATAAATATCTGGATGTACAGACAGAGTCATAAACATTTCTATGCTAGAAAAGGTATAATTATCTTTTATAATAATTGAAATATAATCTTGATGTAGGTATAATAACACTAAAATTTATAGCTATTGTCAAAAGTCAGAGTCAAATTATACCAACAAGAACTGAAACACGTTTATTTTTGGTATGATGGGGACATAATCAGAGAAAAGGTCACATAAACACTAAAAGGAATACATTCAAAAGGACGCTGCCAGCGTGTGCTTGGCAACAGGTGAATTTTAAGCTTTATTTGTTTGGTGAATAAATGAATGATAGCAAATGGTATGAGTTGAACTATGTCTCCCCTAAAAATTCATGTGTTGAAGTCCTGACCCTCCAGAACCTCAAAATATGACCTTATTTGGAAACAGTGTATTGCTCCAGACATAATTAGATATGATGAGGTCAGAGTGGAGCAGGGTAGGCCTCTAAGCCAACATGACTGATCTTACAAAAAGAGGAAATTTGGAAAGAAAAACAAGAGGAAGGATGGAGTGTGAAGAAGAAGGCAGAGATTGGGGTGATGCATCTATACTTAGATCTCAGATTTCTAGCCTTCAAAACTGCGAGACAATAAATTTATGTTAGTAAAGCACTCACTTTGTGGTACTTTGTTATGGCAGTCCTAGCAACAAGTATAGCAAGATAAAAAGAGAAAAAGAAGGAATTAGAAAGATAGGGGAATCCCAAGGCAGATGAAGTGCCTTGATGAGTAAAGGGGCAGAACCTGAGTTGACCAGCTGTGAGTACTTTGTAAAGTCTTCAAATTGTGAATTTACATTCTCCTCAATACTATTTTAAAACATTAAACTAACTCTACCCATTTTAAGTTTTTCAAGTAAAGCTAACATTCAAGTCATATATACCATTTTTATGCTGCTTCATTTATCTTTGGACACAATGCTTTATGGTCCAAAGATTACAGGTAGCCCATAGTTTACTGCAATTCTAAGAAATTAAGTGTCTATTGATGTTCTTGATGATATTTCTGTGTATGAGAAACCAGTAAGAGACACGGATCATTTCACATATCTGAAAAAGCTACAAAGGGATCTTACACATAATTATGACCTGCCTTTCACCATTTATGTTGGGGTTAAGTACAGTGAGAGTCACAGTTGCCATGGAGCAAAGGTCACTTACTGGCTAGCTGGGAAGTGAAATAAGAAAACACTGGGCTCCATTATCAATTTCACGTATTTCCAAAAATAAGTTATATTCCTTCTTTGGGAAATAAAGGGCAAATTCTGCTGCATGTGCTTGTATTTTTGTTAAGAACACAGTAGGAAAGAGAAATTACATTTACCTTCCCTTACTGAAAATAAGATGAAACAGCTGGGGAAGAAAAAATATAAAGAGGAAATGACAAGTTTCACGAACTGGCACTAGCAACTATCAAGTGAATCTTTTCACTGAGTCAGCTTCTTTTAATAATAATAATAAAAAAAAAAGGACACTTAGTCCAGCCACAAAAAAAAAAAAAAAAAGGTTAACGACTATAGAACGGGAATGGAAATAAAGTATAAATCTTATAAAATAATACCATGAGGCTTTCTCCATAAAAGATGGAACCTTATTGTTTACCTTTGATAGGCTACAATATACAACCACAAGATTCCACACATGTGAACACGTCAGTAATTATGCTATCATATAAAGTCTTTTTAATACTTTAATCAAAAACAGTTCTTTTGGAGCTGATGAGACGCAGCAACAACAAAGAAAATAATCCAGTCAAAAAATGGGCAGAAGAGCTAAAAAGAAACTTCTCTGAAGAGGAAATGCAAATGGCCAGCAGACATATGAAAAAATGTTCAACATCACTTGTAATCAGGGAAATGCAAATCAAAACTACCTTGAGATACCATCTCACACCAGTGAGAATGGCACATATTAAAAAAACTAGCAACAACAAATGTTGGTGAGGGTGTGGAGAAAAAGGAACTCTTGTGCACTGTTGGTGGGAGTGCAAACTGGTCCAACCACTATGGAGAGCTGTGTGGAGATTTCTGGACCTACTAAACATAGAGCTTCCATATGATCCAGCAATTCCACTCCTAGGTATTTACCCAAAGGACACAGAAACATCAATTCCAAAGAGCACCTGCACCCCTATGTTTATAGCAGCACTGTTTACAATAGCTAAGCTTTGGAAACAACCCAAATGACCAAAAATAGATGACTGGATCAAGAAGATGTGGTACATATATACCATGGAATATTACTCAGCATTCAAAAAAGATAAACACATGCAATTTGCAGCAACATGGATGGCACTGGAAGGGATCATGCTCAGCGAAATAAGCCAAAAAGAAAAAGAAAAATACCGGATGGTCTCACTCATAGCAGGAATCTAGAAAACTTAAATAAGGGACCAGGAAAATGAATATAAGAAAGTGAAAATCAAAATCAACAAAAAACTATGAACCAGAGACACTTTTTGGGGGGTGGGGGGCGGGAGGGGAAGGATTGGGGTCAGAATGGGGCATTTGCAATTGTATGGGGGAATATAAAAATAAAATTTAATATTAAAAAAAAAAACAAAAAACAGTTCTTTGGGAAGCTAAGCTGCTAATATTCCACATCTTCCTTCTAAAGTTTAAATTCTGTACCTTCTATCTGTGGCACTTCACCATGAAGCTTGGCTTTGCTGGAGAAAGGTGCATTCTGTAGCACTAACGCAAAGAGAGATGGGATCAAGGACTGCAAAGCAGAAAGATACATGTGGAGCTTATGTTCATCCAGCCCATGTTCTCCTTCCTGAAACATAAGGAGGTAGAAACTAATTTTAGTTTTCTGAGATTATGTATTTATGATGTCCTTCCTTTCTATGGTAAATAATAAAACATTCAAAGACCTGTACATTGCACTCACAGCATACCACCTAATTTCTCTAAGTATGTGAAATGTGAAAAAGCACCAAGGCACTGTAGAGTAACAAAATCTCTCATGTGGAAAGCTTTAAGGTGAACAGCAGTCATTTCCATTTGTATGAAGCTTCTTACAGGTTTTTTTTTCTCTCCTCTTAATAGGGTCTTACCTCTTGAAATTTTCTAAGTAAAGGTAAAGAAATTCAAGTGAGTCCCCGGCATCATCTTAAATGCTTAATTGTTAGAACAGCAGCAACATTTGCCACTTCCCCTCTCCTATTTCCTATCTCCTTTTATAGATTTGGTTACATCTGTAGTTGTCAGCACTGAAGGACTTTAAAATAATTCAGCACATAGACAAAATGCAGGAGAATAATTTTCAAAAGAAAATAAAAGAGAGGGGCCTCCCTGGTACCGCAGTGGGTTGAGTGCAGCACTGTGAAGCTCCGCAGCCTCTGCAGTGTGGGTTTGATTCCCAGCCAGCCAGGGAGATATCCATATGGCGCGGCAGACCTCTCCTGTCCTGCCCACTGCTCCCCTCAGCAGTGTGTTTCATCAGTCTGCCTGTTCTGTTCCCCACTCTGTCTCTGGTGAATCCTCTCACCCTCCTGTGCCTCCGGCCTGTACCCCAGCTCTTGTATAAATAAATAAATCTTTAAAAAAAAGAATGAAAGAGGCAGCAGAAAGGAAAAAAGTTGTGAAAGGATCAGGAAGACACAGAAACCAAATATTTCAGTGAGAATAGAATCATTAGAGATGAAAGTATTTATTGCTCTCCAAATCCACTTGTGATGTCATTGCTGCATTATAAAATAACAACTGTGTCAGAAATACTAGAGACATGAGTTATTTACTAGCAAGTTCTGAATTAATTTCTTCATGGAGTATTGTGTTGAATACTGCAGATATGTTTAGCTACAACGTGGAATCAAGCTATGTTATGCATGGCAACAAGATAATCAGGTATGGGTAATTGTAAGGGAGGAGGAACGCAAACACATGAGAACAATACTTTAAAAACTTCCCTAGATTTCAGAAAAAGGAGTATTGCAGTCTAGGCATTTATTTAATAAAATATTTAATACCCATTTTGAAATTTATGTAAATTATAAAAATTAAATACAAGTGTATAATATAACACCATCTATAGAGTGGCTATAATACTTTATGGAAACACCTTCTAGAGCCTTTCAATTTGGGTAGAAAAGGCAAGAGTTTGGAGCCAGAGACTCAAAAGAGATCAGATCCTGGCTCTGTCATATGACAGTTGTGGGTCCCTGGGTAAGCTCCTTAAACACTAAATCTCAGCTTCCACACAAAAATCAGAGCACAATCCATACAGTTATAGGAACAAAATAATATACATAAAGCATCTACTTTAATGGTACACAGACATTAAATAAACAATAGTTTTTCCTCTAGTCTCTAAAGAAACTTTAGTACAAAAATTTAAGACATTTCTACGATGTCCTCAACTTTTCGATTCTTTTACCATGGAAGAGTGAAAAATTCATTTAAAAAGTGAGAAAATGAACCATTGCAATGAAATAAATACAGTTAAAGCACTTCGACATTGTTTAAATAAGCAAGCTTTAGGAACGCATATTTTATCTGTTATATTCTGGGAACTGCAGCTGATATGTTAGCTAAACTATTTCAGCCTTCAGAAAAAGCTAAAGATGTATGGAGAAGCTGAACAACATATGAGTTAGTTCTACAAAGGCTCTATTTCAACTAACAAACTCAGAAAAGGTGACCTTTCTCTGCCAGAGTCACCAAACCAATGCTTCCTGCACATCTCACTTGGCTCCAGTCAAGAAGAATCTTTACCTGGCAACTTATCAATTTACTAGAATGTTCCACTAAATGAGACTGTCTGTCTCTGCTCCCCAACATTTTTCAAGATGTCTTATAACACACCTCTTACATTTTCTCAAACTATATAAATAAAAGAAGCACATACCCTGAGAAGTTTTTCAATCTTGTTCAGTAATGTAGGTATAAGATGAGACTGCAGATTTCCGAGTTCTGTAGTCCAGGCAGCATAAGCTGGTAAAAACACTTGATGTGTTGCACTAACTACTCTTTCTGAGGGATCCCCCAAGGCGGACAGCAACAATTCAAAACCCTGCCAAAAGGAAACAGACGCACCAAAGATTTTTAAAAGAATAACCTTTTAAAAAGTCTCAATTTTGTCATCTGCCTAACATGGATGGAATTGGAGAGGATGACACTAAGCAAAATAAGTCAGAAGGAGAAAGATAAATACTGGATGATTTCACTCATGTGGAAAGAAATAACACAAAGGCAGGGACAAAAATAACCAAAGCAAACCCTGGAAATATGACCAAGAACAAGGCTATTGGAGAAGGAATGATGCGGATGGGGAACAAAGTGAGGATGGGCACTGATGGACTTTGGTGGGTGATTCATGGGTGCTTGGGTGGTAAATGTGATGTGGTAACAAACACCTGAAGAGGTTTGAACTTCTAAATTATAACAGTGCTGTAAATAAATGTTACCTCAATAAAAATAATAAGATTAAAAAAAGCCTCGATAAAAAATAATAAATATGTGTTAGAGTACATTTAGGAAACATCAGAAGCAAGAAAAACAGACGTCCATAATCCTACCCTTGTCATTTTCTTTAAAGAAAATGTCATGTACCATTGATGAGGAAACCAAAGAAAAAGGGTGGTAAATAAGGCATACTTGATGCCAATTTCCTGCCACAGAGTTTGGGTACTTAGTGTAAATGCATCATAGTCTTCTTTCCTCTGAATTGCAGAATTGAAATGAGGCAGCCAACTCCAACTGATTACAGTTGACATACCTGCCATCCCTACTATATGAACCAGAGATTTGGAATATTATTTGTAATCATAATGGGGCAAATCAGGTTCAATGTGAAAAATGTACCTGTTGATATTTGTCTGGATCATCAATGTATCCCATAATGATACCGAGGCTTTTGATCACAGCTTCTCTTACCAAATCTGCCTTATCTTCCATTAACATCTGTTGCAACATTGACAGAACCAAGGAGCTACGAATTTCTTTCTGAAAATAAAAAAACGTTTTTACTATTTATTTATACTAGCAGCGGGAAAATAATATGACATCCACATTTTAAAAATCCTGATTGAATAGACATCAACACATTGCTAGTGTGCTTCAAGTTTTCAGTTTTCAAAGACATACATTACACATATAGTCTAAGAGGCATTCTCCTTTACCCTATCTCCAGAGATGGTAGCACCCACCCTAAATTCCATATTAATCATTTCCAAGCATGTTTTTACATTTTTATTGAATATGTGCAAATCAAAAAAGTCAATACTCTGCTACAAAAGGACAATGACTCTTCTATCATTATTTGGTGAACTCAGAGGAGAGCACTGAGTTACAATAACAGGGGAGATTATAAAATCCTGATTACAAAAATCACTGGTAATCAAAACATTTGTCTGGGGTAGTAGTAAGGAAACATTACAAAATCCTAGTGTTTGTAGGTTTGTTTTTTTCCTTCAAAAACTGAGCAAAAAAATTCAAACAGTAAAACATGAATATAAATTTTAGAACTATTTTAAAAGGAACTGCATTGCTATTTTTATGGGCTACTATTTAATATAACGTCTATCACTGCCATCTCTATCTTATTTTCCACAGCTACAGAATGTTTTAGCTAATTAGTGACTGAGGTTTAAAAAAGTTGTTAATATACAGATAGTTGATCTTCCTGCCCTATTTTGAAACTTTATTGTAATTTTACCAATTCAGAGAATTCTTTAAACCTGAATTGAGTTAGGTCTGTATTTTTACATGTAATGGTTAGGAAAATATATAGAGGATATGGCCATTTTCACAAATTCAGTGATACCTAGTCTGCAGAACTAGGTGCTTAACAGACATTTTAAAGTGACCTAGCTTTTGACTTTTTAAAAATAAAATTATATAATTCTAACATATTTTTGGACACATTTTAGGTACGTGAATATGCCATTTGGTACAATCTTACTTATTTACCCGTTAAGCTACAAATTGCAGTCCCAAAAGCCTTATAGTATCTTAATGGGTTTCTTGGGTGGTATTGGTACAGACAATACTACAGAGGTAAATAAGCATTAGCTGGGTTTTTGCTTCACATTGACCTGGCGATTAATTTTGTTAGACCACAGAGACCCCACAGGACATCCAAAAGTCATTATCCACTTAAGCACTTGAGATTTTGCTGCTATCGGTTATAAAGCAAGTGTAGAACCATGAAGAAAATTTTAAGCCTACTGTTAATATTGCTTAGCGTTCTCATATCAGGAGCAGCAGGGAATATCTTATCCTTTCTGAGCACATGGTATTCCTCTCTGTATTTGAACAATAAATAGTGGGATACTCAAATTTAGTTATATGTGTGCATATATATATTTTTTTATGATTTAGCATTACGATTAAGATACTAGTTTTAAGAGAGGAAAACATTAAAAAATATTTCATAATGCCTAGTTCCTGGGTAAATAAGAACTCCATGCACTGTTGATAGTATAAACTCTGTTACCTTTGTTGGAGACAATTAAACAGTGTCAAAAATAAAAAATTCAACAAATGATGAATGAAGCAAAATGCAGAGGTATTAACAATATGAGAATTTTTAAAAAAGATTTATTTATTTATGCATACAAAAACTGGGGCACAGGCCAGAGGAGCAGGGGGTGAGAGGATTCACCAGAGACAGCGGGGAACAGAACAGGCAGATCTACTGAAATACACTGCTGAGGGGAGCAGTGGGCAAGGCAGGAGAGGTCTACTGCACCGTGTGGGCAGCTCCCTGGCCGGCTGGGGATGAAACTCCTGTTGAAGTGGCTGCTGATAGCTTCTTAGTGCTGTGCTTAACCCCTTGCGCCACCAGGGAGGCCCAACAGTATGAGAAATTTAAAAAATGCAGATAGTCACAGATGCTCAGAGTTTGTCAGCAGTGTTTACTGTCAGGAATATAGAACATTATATATAGTATGATTAATTCTGGGTAAAAAAAAAAATTTAAAGGATATAAAAATGTAAGTGGGTATATATATATTTTAATTTTTCTGCATTAATTAAAAACTATTAAAAGTAAATAGATATCCTTACAGAGAATGCCTAGGGGCCAGGGAAGGTATATCTTTGGTTTTCATTTTATTCGTTTTTGTATTATTGAAATATTAAAAAAATTTTAAGTAGTAGGAGACTATAGACTATCTAAATGCAACTTAGTAAGTAGCTCATGCAATGATGTAGAATTCTATTATGTATCCTTTTTAAAGAACAATCTTACCAAAATAACCCTGTTAGTAAAGTCAGCAAATTTTATGTGAAGGGCCAGGTAGTATACACTCTTGGTTTGGGGGGGGGTCATAAGGTCTCTGCTATTGGAGAGCAAAAGCAGACACAGACAATATACAAGCAATATATTTGTTTCCCATAAACTTATTTATCGAAACTGTGGACTAGATTTGGTCTCCAGGCTGAAGTTTGTTAAGCTCTGCTTTAAATGATGGTTTTCAATTAAAATAACTGTGATGTTAACCGCATTCTCTGTACTCCTTCTAAGCTTTGGACCTATAGGAAGTCACCTAGAAGGATGAGGTAGTCCAATGTTCTCAGTTTCTTTGGTGGCAAGATTTTTTAAGTTGTTTGAAAATGAATGAGCCCCACAAATAAGTTTTGTTTTGGATGGATAAAATCTATTAACATTAATTACATTAGAAATTAAACCTGAAAAAATTTTAAACATTTATCAATTCAGTTAAAAACAATAAACTGATTAAATGTTATCATGAATAACATTTTAATGAAAACAACTATAATACAAAAAATTTGCAAGAAGAATGGCAGTTTTACATTTTGTTGTAAATCTCTAATGTCTGGTTTAAAAGACAGGTAAAATCTTTGCGCTGTTCTGCATTCAAGTTGTTGTGAAAATGCTGCTTTGGCTGAAGTATTTAAAGAAAATATGGTCTCACACAGACAATAATTGGAAAAGGAAGGAGCATTTTAAAGCCTTTTCTGATAAGAATAGATACTTTACTTTGGAAAAGTAAGAAGTGGTAGCTTCTTAAGGGTTAGTTAAAATTTGGAACCTGGAACTATGATATGGTTTATTGATAATAAACCTTTAAAACACTGATAGATTAATTGCACTGGTCTAGCTTGGATTTTGCCTAACTTTTTACCCACACATGATTTTGAATATTATGCATTGGTCATTTGGGAAACATTGGACCACAGGATTAAACAGATATTCTTTAACACTAATACATTTTATTATAATGTCAAAAAAATCACATTTGTTAGTATTGCCACTAGTCTCATCAGATAGGTATTTACATACCTAGAAGCTATCAACTCTAGGTAGTAGACACAAGTTTCCCAAAATTCTAGCTCTTACTGAAAAGCTCCAATTTTATCATTAGCAATAAATGTTGTCTACTTGTTTTCGCTGAAGGGACAGGCTTATTTCACTCATTTTTATGAAAATGTCTGCCAGATACCCAAATGTGAATAACTATAGCTTGTCTGTCAGTGGTTGGCCAAGTGAAATCAGTGTCCCATGAAAAAAAAAGCTGCCAGTTCAGCTGACAACTCAAACTTTTTGAAGTGCTTTCCTCCAAGAGTTATCAGCATCATATGAATATTTTTCATGTTAGCAAACAGAAGAGTAAAAAGATGTACACTCAGTGGTCAAAAGTTATAATTTTACTGGTTTATCAAGCCTGTATTCCAGTCAAACTGGCTTTTTCTGCAATCATAATCAGTCTATCTGGGTGTCACTGCCTTGTTACTAATGCACTGGCGTTGTGTACTACAACTTTTCCAACAACACTGTAAATGTCAGCAGAAAGAAAAAGACAAAAAATGTTTTAATATTATTGTGAAAATAATGTTCCCCTCAAAGACCTCTGACAGGATCTCCTGCAACTCCCATAGTCCTCAGATCACACTTTGAGAACTATTGATACAGTCTGATAATATATTTATACTCATGTAAACACAACAGTTAATGAACCTATGTGCCTGCAATGCTGTAATGTATCAATGTGAGCCTTTTCTTTTTGGCTTATCATTGTTTTGTTGTTAGGACAGCATGCCCTAAGAGAATCTGGATTCAAAGGTTTAAGAAATTCAAAAAAGGGTTTGCTGTTATTTTAAAAGAAAAAAAAAAAATTAAGGAAAAATGACAATTCTTACAGGAAGGAAAGGTGCCAACGCGCCACAGGATTCTGCCACAAGCAGTCGTCTTTCTGGGTATTTGTGATTAATCTGGAGTAAAACATAAAGAAATCAGGCATAAACAATACTGCCCTCCCTTCCTTCAGCACAGAATTATTTTTCACCACAATCCTGTTAAGAACACAATAAAGCTGCTTCCTTTTCCATTCTGGGAAACCCTGCGTGGCTACACCTGGATCAGAAAGGAATCAGGCTGAGACTAAAAAAAAAAATGAGGTCACAGGGGTTATCTGTTAAAGAAAAAAGGATAAAGCGAAGACAAAAATTTGGCAAGGTGTCTAGAAATTGTGGGTTTGCCAAAACTAGGCTTTCTTTAGGAAGTTAGGAGGAAGTTGGGATCCTTCCCTACTAACATCAATATACTTTAAAATTTGGAAACCCAGATTCTGTATACTACAGATAGATATGGTCCATAACATGTTCCAGGAATGAGCCATCAGTCCTCTTTTTTTACCTAAGGGAATAGGAAGTAAGTTAATTAATAACTAACCAGACTCCTAGACTAGTGACATCATTTTGTTTTTAAACATCTTCAATCCATTCCTGTTTGCATATTCGAGATGTTTGGATTTTACTATTGTGATGACTACACTGAACCATAACAAAAATAACAAAACAAAACAAAAAATGACACATACTGGGTTTTGTTCCCATATGTCTTCTTCATAGAATATAAATCTTTCTTTGACTGGAAAAGAAGTATATCTGTTCTCATATTCCCATATGAAAAGGTGACATAATTCATTAATGTATTGGATGCCTAAAATTAAGAAAAGAAATTATATAGTAATCTACTGGGCAACAAACTGGAGGTAGGTGGCTAAAAGATCCCCTAAATCCATGTATATTAAGGTTACAGAAGAAGTGGTAGTAGAGATGTTCACACTGACATCTCTGAATTAAATTTAATCCAGAAATATTAGCTTCAAAGCAGAATGGTTTGAATGTCAAAATACGTATGCATAAACTTTAATTTGCTTTTCTTCAGCTTAGCTCAGTAAGTCTCAAAATTAAATGTCCAACAAAAATCAATTGTACATCTGAAATATATTAGCAATAAAAAACCCCCAAAATTAAGAAAACATTTCTATTTACAATAATATCAAAAAGAATAAAATACTAAGGAATAAATTAAACAAAAAAACTACAAATATATTCTGAAAGCTATGAAACACTGTTGAAAGAAGTTTTAAGAATGTAAATAATGGAAAGACATTCTACACTACTGGATTACAAAGTTTAGTATTGTTAGGACGGCAAATTCATCTAAAGATTTAACTCAATCTTTAAGAAAATTCCAGCTGACTTCTTTAAAGAAATTGACAACTGATGCTAAAATTCATATGGCAATGAATTCATAAGGAAATAAGGGGCCTAGAGTAGCCAAAACAAGCTTGAAATATCAAACCATGTGTGAGGGTAAGGTTTCTTTTTCGGATGATAAAATTGTTGTAAAATTGATTGTGGTAATGACTACGCAACTCTGAAGATACTAAAAACCCATGAGGGTAAACTATTTTTTTTTTTAAAGATTTATTTATTTTTATACAAGAGCTGGGTATAGGCCAGAGGCGTGGGAGGGTGAGAGGATTCACCAGAGACTGAGTGGGGAACAGTAACAGGCAGATTGACTGAAACACACTGCTGAGGGGAGCAGCAGGTGAGACAGGAGAGGTCTGCTGCGCCATGTGGGAATCTCCCTGGCTGGCTGGGAATCGAACTCGCACTGCAAAGACTGCGGAGATTCACAGTGCTGCGCTCAACCCGCTGCGTCACTGGGGAGGGCCGGTAAACTGTATGTTATCTCAAAAAGGCTTAAAAACACCCACAAAATGTTGAAGAAATGATTAAAAATTTAATGTACATATGAATCGCTGTACCTTCAAAGCTTTGTATGTTGTTTCCAAGTTAATTTGACTTTCAATGTCACCCTAAATTAGTATGCACTATAATTTATAGAGGACATCAGGGACTGTCAGAGGTAATTATGACTAATGATGTTCAATTCATATATTGAATCTAAATATGACTCCAAATTTTAGAGACAGAAATGAATATTCAAAGAAATTGGGAACAGAATTCTAAAGGCCACATACTTTAGTGATACTCCAATATTTTCCCTTAAGAATAATTGGTATTTATCTTCATAAAAAAGAAATCCATCTTTTTAAGATGGAAAAATAAGCAGCTTAATGACCAAAATATCAAGTCTAGAAAAGTCAATGATTCTGAGTATTACAGAGGAGTAGGTATTAAAATCCAACAAAAGTATTGTTAGTAAATAGTGAGTTGAACTATAAATACAAAACCCTCTTATATCAAGGCTTATATTTACTTTCTGCCTGTGTTTTTAATACACACAAGTATAAATATAAGCAAGATATATTTCTATCACACACACCCTTCTTGCTCTTCCTTGAACTCATCAAGCAGACAAACAACTCAGGGCTTTCGTATTTTTAGCAGCTCACTTTATTCAGATTCTGTCTAAACATTTTTTCTTCAGATTCCTCCTCTGACTGTCCTTCATAAAATATCTTTTCCCATCATTCTCGAACTCCTTATCCTGCTATTTTTCTTCATATTATATATCACTATAAGATAATATATCATATCATTTTCTTTCTTCTAATCTCTCTATTAGGATGTCTCTGCCTTTCACATTGAGTCACTATCCCTAGTGACTACACTAGTACTAAGCACTGGAACTTGTGTTTTGAAGTAACTGTTAAAAAAGTAAGTAAAAACAAAGCATCCAGAGCAGTTCTTCAGCACTATTAATGACTGTGCTTGGCTACAAAAACAGCACCATAATTTATATTCCAAGATTTCCTAATGGCATTCAAAAAAGGAAACACGAACATAAATTAATATATGAGAATATAATAGCTAGAGGGAAAAACCCAACACAGTTACTTACCTGTTCCCAACACTGTGGTAAAAGTTCGGCTTCTACACGAGTTGGTCCAACATGACGTGCAAATGCCACACAGCCTGTTAGTATCATTTGCCTGGAAAGAATACACATAAGTACAAAATGCATTTGCATTCCAAAGCACAATTATGAATAAGGATGAGAGTCAGCACATCAAGCACATTTTTGTACGATTAGACTTTTCCAACAATGGACCAGACTGCCTCCAAGAAAGTGAGTTCATTAAGATTGGTTCCTCCAGAAGTAGCAATACCATTTGTGAGAGATGTGAAAGGATCCTTAAATGTGAAAGAATCTCATAATTTCAGTGCTTTAGCTTCTTTTGAACTTCAGTTTCTAGCCACTAAAACAATCATTGATTTCTCTCCCCCCCCCCCGCCCCGTATCACTGTAATTAAAAACTGTCACATTATAGTGAAATGATATTTCTTAAATTAAAATTTTGGTACTACACCCAAGATCACTATGGTAGGAAACTCCCTACATGGCTCCATAATGTCCCTCTCCCAATATTCACACTCTTGCTGCAATCCCATCTCTCTTGAGAGTAGACTAACGACTTGCTTCTAATAGACAAAATAATGGGGAGAATGATGGGATATCACATCTGAGGTCAGATTACAAAGGTCTGTGATATCCATTTGTGGGACTCTCTCGCCTGCCTTCTCAGCTGGCATGCTTTGAAGGATGCTGCCGTGTTCAAGGGGCTTGCAGGGCAAGGAACTAAAGGCAGCCTCTGGCCAAAAGTCAGCAAGGAAAAGAAGCTCTTGGTCCAAAAACCCAAGAAACTGAATTCTGCCGGTGACCAACCCTGTGAGTGAACTGACAAGCAAATCCTTCCTCAGTTGAGGCCGGAGAATAATATAGCCCCAGTCAAGAACTACATGACAGAGAGCCTTCTAAGACGCCCAAAGCAGAGGACACAGATTAACATAGCCACATAATAGTCTGATTAAAATGTGGCATTTTAAACTGCTTTCTCGTGGGGTGATTTGACACAGAATTGTAACTAACTAACTAATAACTTCACTTAACAGATTTGAAACTTAATGAAGTTTAAAATTAAATTTTTCATTCTTCAGAACAAAATTCCATTTAAAATTACAGTACAGAACTGTTTTTCCACGTTTGATTACCTAACATTTCAAAAGAGTGAAACCTGATGAGGAAAAAGTATGCTTTCAAATAGAAGTCTGAAAGCAGACAGCTTCAAGGAAAATCAAATTAGAATGTTAAATTCTGATTAGTAATAAAATCAGCATTTTAAGTCCAAGGTCTACTCAATATTATCAATTTAATTTCAATTGCAAATGAACCTTAAATTTCTATTTAGCCAAATTAACTATAACTGTTCTCTCAGGTAGAGGACAATAACAAGAAGCACCTAGACAACAATTAGGGAACTGTTGGGCCAGTGTATGTTTACTACACACTGCTGTTTCTTCTGACCACAGCCATGTGAAATTTTCTCTCTGATTCCCCTTTATATTTACATAATTTTCTTCTAGGCCTCTGTAGGGTTAGGTAAAAGTATCAGTCTTTTCTGCCCTCCCGCCATTAGGATAGATGAGGGAACCCTGTGGTCCTGAATGCATGCCTGATGGTGGGCACCTGCAGTGAGTTCACCTGGGCTGAGAGACTGAGTTCATAAGGGTGGCATCATGGGGACGCCAGCAGAAGCCAAGAACGAATGGAAACGAGAGAAGAGAAGCAGAGAGAACACCAGAGAACCCAGATAGAGTGAGGATTTGCTGGGTGCTGGGAGGACTGCCAGCCTCCCGGCCCCCCAGCACCCCTGCCTGCCATATGCCTGGTAATTCTAAATAAAAGATCTTCAAAAGCCACTGAGGACCCTGACTCCTCCTTTACCCCGTCTGCTGGATCAGAAAACCTCCTCAGTGGTCCTTTCTGCCCCTACAGCCTCTCTCTCTGCCTTCCCTGTTTTATCTATTTTTCTTCTACTTTAGGAAGGTAAATGAAATGAATATAAGGAAATGGACTCCCAGTTTACAGACAGCACTTCAACTGTTCACTCCCCAAGGAAAATTCCCTAATATCTGATAATTGTTTCCCCCCACAAGTGTTCTTAAAATAATGAGAAGGCATAAACATAGATTCCTTAAGTGTCTAAGAACTGTAATACACAAACTTTGGTGAAATGTTACCATTTCCAACACTTGTAACAAATATACACTTATATATGATCTTCCTGTGACATTTACTATCACTATACTAAAGACATGTGAACTTGTTGAAAAAATGTTAGGCCCTTCAAAACAAACTTACCAGACTTACACTGGAAACAGACTCTTGCACCGTAAAAATCAATATTGTTCCTATATGGAATATGGAATCACAGGACTGGGGCTGTTTGACCACTATTTGACATAGGTAGCAACATGGTGTCATTTATAGTTGCTGGCAAAGAGCTAGCAAAAGGCACATTTATTAAGCATAAAATTAAGTTTTCATTAGGATACAGTCAAAGAAGTCAGAAATTCATTATGGAAAAATAACTGATTCTAAATAAAAATTTTTCTTTTACAATTTATTGCCCACATTATATACAGCTAATCAATTGATTGGTCTATTTTAATAAATAATTGCACTTCTGTGAGGTGAGAGATTTAAATATGGAGATGAGTTGCTTAGATCGTGAAAGGGCACACCTTTAAATAAGGCTAAGGGGTACTTCTGGCCACCAGGGGGCATCTATTAGCTTTAAACAGGCTATAACTACAGGATTGTCTTGCCAATTTAATAATGCAATAAATGGGTTTTTCAGCGCTCTTTGCAAGGGTACTAGACGTGTAGTTGTGCCAGCCGCTGCAGTTGCTACAATTCTCTTCAACTTCAAGATGTTTCCCTTGGCCCAAAACGCACTAAGTCATCTCCAAGTTCGAAACATTCAGCAAATGATGGCAAGACAGAGCCACCAGAAACGGACACCTGATTTCCACGACAAATATGGTAATGCAGTATTAGCTAGTGGAGCTGCTTTTTGTGTTGCTGTGTGGACATATACAGCAACACAAATTGGAGTAGAATGGAACCTGTCCCCTGTTGGCAGAGTCACCCCCAAAGGAATGGAGAGATTAGTAATCATCCCAGCCGGTGTAACACTAAATTGTTTCAAAATCAGCTTATAATTGATGCCAAGTAAAAACACTGTATCCATTAAAATATGGCATTACTAAGGAAATAAAGTACATTTGAAACTTTAAAAAAATAAATAAATAAAAATGCAATAAATGACAATGTAATAAATGGCATTACACCAAGATAAGGAGTAATATTCTTTAAAAATAAAATAAAATATTAATTTTTCTGTATAGCACCATCAAATTATCTTAGAAAAATTTCAGTTTGCAATAAACGGTACGAATACAATGATTTAATTTTCTATATTTCTATTTGACTAGCATTTGAGGACTGCTGGTATAGATTGGTCAGATGTATTTTGGAAAGAGCAGGAGGAAATATATACTTGGAGTTTTAAAGCCCACATATAATTTTATTTTATAGTTGAGAGATTCCTTGTATTTTAAATTTTTAACTTAATTTGCCTTATGGTTCATTTTTATTTATGATCTTCCAACATCCTCAGGAAAGGTAAAAATTTTAACAGTCAGTAAAACAAGTACTGATTATACAAACTTACATAGTCATAAAGTACAATTCTTTCGTTTTGCAAAAGTATTAAGCAAAAAAATTCTTCCACTGAAAAAGAAAATTATACCATGAAAAAACATTTAAAGTGCCTAATTTGATCTGACTGGTGCTTAATCTGCTTACCCACATCCCAGGATGCTTTGTCGACATTCACACTTTTGTAGTTCTTACTTAGTATAATATAGGGGCTTCTCTCTGAGGCAGACATCTATCATTGTTGTTTCATCAAAACTCATCCTCTTTTCTTCTACAAAGTCACCATGATGTGTGACCCTCTCTACCTTACCATCCTCAGATGCAACTAATTTCTCCAAGCAGGTGTGCCTGGTTATGAGCATTGGCCTCAGGCCTAATTGAAACAAAATTCTATCTCTCCAGCCACACAGCAATTAGCATACAGATAGACCAATCATGCAGAAATTCATATATTAAATATTTTATTTCCTATAAAACATAACCAGTAAGAGGCTGTGATATATTTAGTTCATCTGGGGGAAAAAAGAGGGAATATTTAAAGGTTCTTAGAAGAAAAATGTGAAAGATAAAGGCAGAGGATTATTTGAATTAGAAGGCTAAAGGTAACAATATAAAAGGGTGCAAATTCAACACTAGTAGCTAAAATAGGAATGAAAACATTGCAGAGCATTGTAAATGAAGTTAGTGTTTCCTCTGCTTATTAAAACAGGTATTGAGGAAGAAAGAGGCCTTCAGATAAAGATGTTAATCCAGATGCCATATTAGTCCAATTAATAAATCAACTATATATTAATTTTCTAAGAAGTGGTTATACGTACCTTTGCTCATCATCTGGCCTCTTGATCAAATTGAAAAGTATGTGGAGAAGTTGATCTCTCTCTTTAGGCTCAGGATGTAGGCAAGCTGTACACAATATGAGGGGGATCAACTCCTAAGAAAATATGAAGGTGGAAAAATTCAAAGTAAAAATACATAGCAAAATATTCTGTTTTTCCCCAAGAGTATTTTAGATAGACATTTAAACTGAGATAAACTCCAATATAAAAAAAGTAAATTTTAGCTTTGCAAGGTTGATAATTCAAGAGAAAATACTGAACCATATTTATGTGTTGATTGTGCAAAAAGTGTAAATCAAAGTAATAAATAAAGTAACTTAAGATTCAACTAACCTTGCCTTCTTATCAGTACTTCTGAAGGGCCTGCTAGTTTTTACACTAAATAGCAATCCATCTTACTGTAAGTTAATAAAGTAATTTTAATTTTGAAAGTGTTTTTAAAACAAAAGCTGCAGAAGTTAACTCTAGAAGGAAAAAGACAATTCTCTCCACTTCCACAGATACAACGATCTTTCTTAAGATTAAATATAATTTATAACAGTGTACCCTTAGCATGTGACCCAGGAGTTAACACAAAAGAAGACCCGTTCCAAGGAGTGAATGCTCTAAGTACAGAGGCCTACCAATAGAAATATTTTCTGTTCAAATGGAATCTTTTGTTTGTTATATATTTAACATGCAAAGGTAAATTCAGTATTTTGTAGGAAATGAACACACGAAAGTTTATTTCTTCTAATTAAAGTTGGAGCATTTTTTAATTAAACTATGACAACAGTCTAAGATACACTAAAAAGATTGTCATTTTGGCATATATTTTCAAATCTAATGAACAGAAGTTCAACAGTCATAAAATATTTTGAGAAATCTTCTAAGTTATAAGAACAATTTTAAAAAATATTTTGTGGGTATTCTTTATATTTATAGGTAATTGAAAGAAATCACTGTGATGTAATAAGAAGGTATGCTTACTCACTCCCATTTCTATTTCCATATACCTCCCTACCCACAATAAGTGTTGTAACAGATATAAAATGGAAACTGATCACCAAATAATAATACTGCATGATACCCTGAAGAAGAATTTACATTGTACAAGTATTCTTCCATTTTGAAACAGATGATATGATTTTTTGGAGTTGAGACTGAAATTAAAAGGCATGATTAGTAGTCTTTTTCCATTGTTTCTAATACCTTTACATTATTTTAAAATTATAATTACCAGGTATAAATCTTAAACAGGAAGTAGAAAGATAAAGCTGAGAAGAGCTAAGAATCAATTTGAGAAGTACAAGTGAATTTATTCTGTTATCTTTTTTTCATGGGTACCTTTGTAGATTTGGGCTTACTGAATAACAGAAAAACAAAAGAAATTTAAAAATTAAGGAAATAATTTTGCACTGGGAATAGAAAACAGTGCGTATGGATTATATACTGTTATGTAATGCTTTCACCTGAGGTTTAATGTGATGCTTAATGGTTTAGTCTTGACTTTGTAGGAGAAAATATACTACCTTTTATAAAATAGTGGAGTAGGAAACTATTAATAGCAAGGATTATCCTAATCCTTAGAGGATTCCATGTAGGCTGCTAAAGTTAATGGCACTAAATGAGGACTAAGACATTGTCTCATCAGCATATCCACTGAGAATGGAAATCTTAAGACAAAAAAGTAGTTATTCTAGAAGACACAAACAAAAGGAGAAAATATTTTAATGCTTGAAAATCAAGAAAGGTCCTAAGTATTTTATTTGTATCTTTACCTCATGTCAAATCACTCTGGGTCTTCTTACTAACCCTTTTTCCTGCTATTTCTCCTAATGTCTATCTATATATACTTTACATTATCTTAATCCATTCTCTTCCTATTATATTACTCTTGAAAAATAAAGTTATGAAACGTAGATAAGATATTTGCTATAATTGCAAATATACTTTTTAAAAGAGTATGATATTTAGCTTCTTTATCCCAGAAACAAGCATATCAAAATAATTCCTACTTATTCTTTGTGCCTTATACTTTTTCTTTCTCCTTTTTTGTAATCACGAGGTTTAGTAATTCTTAATCACAGAGGAAGTTTATGCCATACTTTAATAAAGAGAATCTCTTAGTTGGAATAAGGGCAAATAAAACATACAGGAATTAGAAGTAGTACAGAAATAAAAATACTTCACATACCTTCTGCAATTTCCTCATCTATTGCTAATTTTGTTAAATTTTCTTTCTGAGATCAAAGCCTCAAAAAGGCCTCTCAACACCACACATATCAAAGCACTTCCAGCAACACAGCAGCCATTACCAATTGCTCCAAATTGACACAGCGGAGGAAACCATTTTTCAGTCCTTGTCCCCTTCAATTCTAAAATTCTTCAATTTTGGGCTTGAAATATAAAACTGATGCCCTATTGATCATTACAGAGGAAATCAGTATAGAAATCCAATTGCAGGGATTTTATTACCATGATAATAAAATATTTTAGAATTCATTAATCTAAAAAGTTTAGTAATTTCCACTTCACTCAAGTAAATGACTTTTGTGAAGACTATTTTGAATTGTACAATTTTAATAACAAAGCTAGTTCTCTTTATATAAAGGATCTTCCACCCCTCAATCTTAGATGACAGTGGAATTTTGTAAAAAATTAAATAGGAAAATGCTTTCAGTTTTCCTTCAGTTCTACGAGTAAAACAAAATAATTTCTAGCAATAATCAAGAAATTGATAAAACAAGAAATACTTTAGATTTCATTAGATTTTTACATGAGTTCATGAATATTTTTACTCATTTTTTTTTCACTCATAACAAATTTCTGAAGTCCCTACTAGGTAGTGTCTATTTTCCCAAAAACATATCATTTGAGGATTAAAATCTTAAAAAAAAACCAAACAGCCAAGAATAAGATTAGTGTGTATATAGACTGTAAAAATAGAAAAAACAAAAACATCTAAAAGAATCTAAAACAATAAAAGTTGATTTGATATAAGTGGGAGAAAGGGAAGAGAAATGAAGCAGGAAATGAGAAAAGAAATTTTTTAACATTAAAAAATGCATGGAAATATTGATAATGGCTGCAAGATCTGAAAGTTATCTAAAACAGAAAAGGAAGCATCATATTTAGATCAGATGCCAAGGCATAAATGTTCAAATACAAGAAGCAAAATTCTATATTTCTAGAAGGCAATACATTAATCTCATAAATTAAGAGTTCACTGCTTGCCTTTGTTGTTTCACTGACATTATAAAACCTGTCAGGATGCTAGATAGCAACATGAAAAGAAAAAAATAAAGAACACCAAAGACTTATATAAAGAAAAAATATGATTACTCACCTCTGGAAAAGTCCTACATTTTAGGGGTTGCTAAAACATCTACACCTAGAATTATTAAGAGAGTAGTCTTCCTTATTCCTGGGGAATATATTCTAAGAACACCAGTTCATGCCTACTATTGTAGATACTACTGAACCCTATTTACACTTATATTATTTTTTTTTCCTATACAAACACATCTATGAGGGCCTCCCTAGTAGCCTATGGATAAGTCTCAGTGCTATCACCTCTAGGGCCTGAGTTCAAACCCCAGCCAAGGAGCTAACCCACGTATGGCAGAGCAGACCTCTCCTGTCTCATTCACTGCTCCCCTTAGCCTTGTATTTCAGTAGATCTGCCTGTTCTGCTCCCCACTCTGTCTCTGGTGACTCCTCTCACACCCCTATCCTGGCTATATTCCAGTTCTACGCAAAAATAAAGATTGAAAAACAAAACAAAAAGCACACCTAGGATAAAGTATATTTTAAACTAGGTAAAAGAGCAGATTAACAACTATTACTATTAATAAATAGAACAATATAATAAAAACCTTATGAATATATCTCTGAAGATATTATTGTACATATTATTTTCAGACTGTACTCTACCAAAGATGAATGAAACTGAGGAGTGAAAAACAACAGATTAGTGGGGACTACTATATGTATAATTCCTGGGGTTCAACATTTAGGAAGCCTAAGTGAAATATTTAAAAGACTTTAAAACTCCAATAAGGCCAAAGAGTATGTGATTCACTCCCAAAATTAAAACACATGCACACTCACACACAGACAAAATAAAGATAGGCCGAGCTTATCTAATTCACTCTACTCTGTAGTTTACTTATTCACTATATTACTGTATCAATCTCAGTTATTATTATTGGGAGCTATTATTATTATTTATAAGTCAAAAAATTTGCCACTGAAGCAATCACAAATGGTGATATAAAAAAAGCAAAATTTTGTTTCATAGAAATGAACAGGTCTACTTCCAAAAATTTATGGAATTGGTTCTTATATTTGCCTTTTTTAAAAAAAAAAAAAGCTTTAATGTATCATAATTTTTGTATGTATCATACAATTTTATCCAATATGTATCCAATGCATCATAAAATTTATCTACTTCATGTACATTCAGATTTTCATATATTTAATTTTGATGTAATATTTAAAAATGCCTTCAGAAGTAATTCTTTATGAAATTTTATTTTTTAATTACAGAATTCCCCCTTCAAATGCATTTAAAGATTCTGAAAAATCAACTTCTCTAGCCTATTTACTAATTACATGTATCAAATAACAAAGATATTCATTTCACAATTAGGTGTGATAGATTCAAGTTCTTCAATCAGCCCACTAAAATGTAGGTGCAGAACATGTACTTAAGCCGCATAAAGAAAATTAGTTAATCATTTTAAGTTTTTCTCCAAAAATGAATAGTCAAGGAAAGAAGTCTTTATAAATACAAGTGCCCACATAAAAAAAGTAACAAGGTCCCAAATCAACAACCTTGCTCAAAACCATAAGGAACTAGAAAAAGAGCAAACCCAACCCAATATCAGCAGAGGAAATAATAAAAATTAGAGCAATGAAGAGAAATGAAATATCAATTAGAAAAACAATAGAGAACAACAAAATCAAAACAATCAACATGAAAGGCAAAAAAACAAACCTCCATTTTTCTATTTCTACATGCTGAAAATGCATTTGAGAAAACTCAATAGTCTTTCATGATAACACTAAGCAAACTAGGAATATGGGAAAACTTCCTTGATATTATAAGTGCATTCTGGTTTCCTAAATGTATCATACACAATGATGAAAGAATGAAAACTGTCACCCTAAGATCAGGAACAAGACAAGGATATCTGCTTTCTCAAAACATTACTATTCAACATTTTACTGGATATTCTAGCTAGAGCAATTAAGCAAGAGGAATAAATAAAAGCCATCTAATAAATCCACAAAAAATTTACTAATACTAATACATTAATACTAATACTAATAGTAGAGTAATCAAAATAGTGTGGTACAGGAATAAAGACAGGCATAAAAACCAATGGAACAGAATTAAGAGTCCAGAAATAAATCCAACAGATATTGCCAAGTGTTTTTCGACGAAAGTCTTTCAATGTGGAAACAACTTCTCTTCAACATACGGTGTTGGGACAACTGGATAACCTCATGAAAGAATAAGGCTGGACCTATGCTTCACTCCACATCTCAAAATAGATCAATTACCTAAATGTAAGTTAGAGCTATAAAACTATTAGAAAGAACCATAGGGGTAAGTCTTCCTGAATTCAATTTGGTGATGGTCCTTAGATTTGACACTACAGAACAAGCACCATCAAAATATAGATAAACCACACTTCATAAAAATAATAAACATCTGTCCACCAAAAGATATTGTCAAGAACGTATAAAGACAACCTGCAAGCTGGGAGAAAATACTTCTAAATCATATATGCGATAAGGGGTTAATATTCAGAATTTTAAGAACTCTTACAACTCAAAAACAAACAGTTCAAATAAAAAATGGGCAAAGGACTTAAAAGAATACACTAAAAGTTATTCAGATCTGCTGCATGTAGGGTTGTGGGTCACTGATAGGAGGTTTTGTTGTCATGTATCTTTATTTATAAAGATGAAAAATATATAAATATATTTATATATTTAAAAAATGTTACACCATATGAATATATTCATTAATCAAAACCTTAAATGCTATTTCTAATATTGTATTTATTTAGTCAGCTAGGATATATCTGATTGGAGAATATGTAAAACTTAAGAAATAAGAAAAAAAAGAAGATATTAATTTTCAATAACAAGACCTTTTAAAAATATAAATTTAAGGAACTAAGGTGAAATATTAAATAAAAGCAATTCAGTATCAAAGGATGAAATGAACAAAAATTTTTGTTGCTTTATGTCCTGAGATTGCTTTCAAATCAAACCAAGATTAATTATTAATTATTTACCAATTTAATCTGAGGGAATACAAATTTGGTATATAATTAATTACACATTAGGTATACATATTTAAATAAACAAAGATAAGTGATAAATTCTTGATGAAATTTTAAGTAAACATTTTTTAAACATAAAAAAAATTAAAATCAGGCAGAAAGGTAAACACCAAAAAGGAAATAATGTATGTGGTATGCCTGTATGTATGTATACACATGAATGTGTGTGTGTGTGTATATATATATATATACACACACACATATATTTAAATATATATAATGTATCTGATTATTGATGATGCAAATTTATAAATGTCATGCAGTACAATCAGTACAATCAGATTTTAGAAGTAGTGACTTCGATGATAAAAAAAAGGGGAAATAAAAGAAAAAAAGCTTAAACTGTATTTCACAATAATTAGGTTTCTGTGATATTTTAAAGATTACATTAAGGAAAAATAGTTAAAGGGATGCAAACATTAATGCACTGCATGGATTATGTTACAAGCTGAAAAAGGAAAGAAGCGCAAACATTCTCCCAGGGAGAACTGCACAACAATCTGAAATTAGACACTGATCCTTCAAGACAGAGAAAAATTTCTATACTTATTAGTATATCACAACAATTTTTAAATATTAGACAAAATAAAACATCAGTAAGTCATTTTTATCTTTTTTAATTAGAAAATAGTTAAAGGAATATTTTTAAAGTTCTTCAGATAGGTTTTCTTGAAGATCAGTACAAATTTCTTGTGCTAATGGATAAGGATAAGCTTTATGTGGGTTTTGCCAATGCATTGTGTACCTGTCATACTGTAGGTCCCATTAATTATGATTGAAATCAGTGGTAAATATTACAACGATAACAGAAGAAACTTACATTAAACATTCTAAAATACTCTTACCCCATTTTTTAATAAAAAGTTTTGGGAACTGGAAATTGACTTCAGAAATTGAGTAATTCAAATAAAACAACTAACTAAATTTGCTTTCTTTATTTGCAAGTAAATCACCTGTGATAAGTTAAATGAGATTTACAAATAATTTTTCTTTAATCTTTTATTAGGTAAATATAATTCTACATGAAACTTTCCATAGCATTCATGGCTCATAACAGACTGTGTATAGTAAATTTTTGCTACTTTTGAAAATAACAGGTTAGCTACAGGAAAACAAAAACGGCAATTTCAAAAGTTATTTTAGTCAATATTATCAATTCTATCATCACAAGACAAGTATAGTTATTGCCAAACAAATATAATAAAACTAACATTTATAATAAGTAACTACAAGTACATTAGTCCCTGTTAATTTTCAATAGGAAGAGTGTCCATTTCTATAGACATACCAAGCATATCATATCAAGAGCAGAGATAAAATAAATTAGTTAACTGCAATGTAAAAAAAAAGGACAGTGTTTATGGCACATAATGGACCTACAGTAATAGTTAGTGTTGCAGAAGCTAATGATGCTTTAAGCAAAACTGGAAAACACGAATACCATGCAGTTTTACTGAACTCACCTGACAGAGGTGTAAAACCATTCTCTAGGAGCAGAGATGCATGCACAAAAGTAAGAATATGATTGCAAGTAATAGACTTTAACAAAACAAAAACATATACTAAACTTTCAAATGACAAAAAAAAGGACAACATGATGAGATTACTGCGATGAAAATATTTTTATGTGTCTCACCTCTCTCTTTGCCAACAGCACATTAGGAACAATGTGTGGGAGGCAGCGCCCCAGCATTAACATAACGCTCTTCTCACTGTCTGCAATCCGAGACACCTAGAAAACCAGAACATTCAAGAAGACAAAGGTGGAGAACTTCTCTGCATGATGGTACTTCAAATTCAAGTGTTAGATTCTGCTACCTCTGCTCTACATACATCCAAAATTATAATCTGATGATGACTGCAGGAAGGCCCATTAGGCTTTAAGTTCTGTGAACAAGCAGAGATATCACTGGACTGGGGCACTCCAATGGCTTATCTTTTGTCTTTGAAAAGATGTCCACAAAGCTATGATTTTTGGCTAAGGTAGTAGACTGTAGAGTGAAGCTATAGGCAAGGGGAGGCCCCAACAGGCTCACCCGTTCTTTCACTGAGGATTGCCAGAACTGCATGCCAACCACCCACTAGCTCTTTCGTATTCCCAGTGACACTACAGGAAAGAAACCAATGATAGGCCAAGTGGACTCAACCACAAAAGAGAAAGGGAGGCATGAATATAAAGGTAAGAGGAAAAAATATATATCCTCTCCTGAAGAGCCCGCAACAATAACAAAGCACTTGAAGAAAACTAATCTGAGCGCTGATAACATGGCAAAGACAACTACTCCCTATGAAATTATAATGAGTAATCTAAAAATAAGAGTATAAGCAATATTACTTAAATTACTTAAATAATACTTAAATTATAAATTTCATTATAAATTAAATCAGAATTATACCAAAATGAAATATACACCATTTCAGTAGAAATAACAAATAAAAATAGACTACAAAATGTCACTTATTATTAAAAAATACCTTTAATCCAAAAACATAATCAATTGCCTTCCTTCAATATTTAGAATACTAACAGGAATTATTTTTCTTAGAGTATTATTTTAAATAATAGATCTGTATTAGAAACAGTCTTATCACACTTGTTTTTGGATGAGCTACTAAGAATAAAAATGGAATGTTTTAAGAAAGCTTTAAGTATATTTGACATAAATTACCTCTGATCCCAAACGACTATCCGCTGACATTCGACAAAAAGAGAGTAGAGCTTGGTGGAAAGCTGGAGACAATTTCCTAGAAGAAAATATTGGATGAAAAGGGGACAATACCAAAGGAGATACAACTTAAGGAGAAAGTAAGCTGCAGTCCGTTCCTGTATGAATGCTACCATAAGCCATAACTATGTGCTCAATCTAAAGAAAAGAGCCAATAATACAAAGTTACGTAGAAAGGGTTATTCAGTATACACAACAAAGTGGCAAGGCACTCAGTATTGTGGAAACAGAGTACCAGAGCTGAGTCTGTTTGCTCATGTATAGTCATCCTCTCACATTCTTTCAGTGGAGGGAGCCAAAATCCAGTTTATCTAAGCTAGGAGCTGCCAAGCAGTCTTTATCATTCCCTTTCTTTTAATCCTAAATCCAAGCAATCTTTTTTTTTTTTTTTTTCCCTGGGACCCTTGCCGGTGGCTGAGGATCGAACTGGCACTGCAGAGGCTGCGGGCAGCCTCGCAACACAGCGCTCAACCGCTGCGCCACCAAGGGAGGCCCAATCCAAGCAATCTTTAACCTTCTAACTATGTTGTAAATCTCTTCATTTCTTTCCAATCCAAGGCAGGCCTCAATTATTTCTTTCTTGGATTTTCCCAACAGATAACCCATTAGTCTCCTCCTCCAGTCTTGCTACCCTACAACTATCTCTACCCTAGAGGTCTTTTTCCAAAACTTAGATATCATCATGTCCCAACTCGCTAAAAGTGAGCTAACATGGTGTATATGACTGTGCTTAATTTTCCAACTTTATCTCCTATCAGTCTTCTCACTTGTGTTCTTTGTTTAAACCTTACCGAATACTTGGCTTCCCAAATGCACCGTATTCTTTGTGCACATGCTAGTCACATTTAGTAGCAACATTTTCTCTTACAGCTTCACCTGGTTGACTCCTACCTAGTGGTCAGGTATCAGGAGAGATGACATTTCTCTCATAAATCCTTTCTTGCTCTGATGACTAGGTTAGGTGTTCTGAGTGTGTTCCCATCACAAGCTGAACTTTTACATCACTAAATTTCAGTGATTGTCGGTATCTCTCAAACTCTAAGATATGTGACTTAAGGACTTAACATGTGTTTTGCTTACCATTATATTCTCTGAACACTGGCTGGCACATAGTTAAGAGGTAAAATATTTTCTCAACAAATCTAACCATCAACTATCTCCAAAGTGAGGCTCTGGAATATCCAGAGAGACATAAGAAAGTACTCCTAAACATTAAAGACCTACTGCAAATGCAGTGATTGTTGAATATCCTAACACAGACACTTATATCTTATCCATAATAGAATAAATGCACCTTGATGACTGAGCCATGTCTACCTCAAATCTTTCACCTACAAAATAGCTAAAGAAAAAATATACCTCTAGTAGGATACAAAAGTTGTGGCTCATGAGTTGAAAGCTTTCTTCTCACTAATTATGAGTACTGATAAGTCAAAAACAAATTTAATTATGCTTTTCCATTATGTCCCAACACTTGATGTAATTATCCTCTGTTTAATAGGAGGAAGCATGACTTTGTGGCTGAGAATATACCATAGGGTATTTGTGAGGATTAAAAAGGTCAGTATACACAAAACATTTAGAAGGACCTGACATATGCAAAAAATTCAGTAAGTAAAATTTTCTTAAAATTATTATTGACATTATAATCTAAAATTTTTTAAGTTATATTTTGTCTCCTCCACTGGAAAGCATGATCAAAAAGGGTACAGGCCATGTTTTGTCATCTCAATTCAATCACTGCAACCTAGTAAGATTTTTAAAAAATGACTTCAGAATAATGATAACAATATTAATAATGGAAGCAGACACAGGAAAAAGCATTAGCAGCAAAAACTATTCCTCTCTTTAATATAGGTAACTGCAATACTGAAATCATCTTCCAAGTCTCATAAGGAAAGACTAGAGACAAAGTAAAAGCGCTGGGTAAAAGTCTTGGCAACACATACACATTAGGTGAGGGTTTAAATAACTTAGCTCAGACAGAACCTACCCATGTATGTTTTATTCCTCTTTAATATAATTTAACTTAATGATGTTTTTGGTTTGAGGTATTTGTTATGTAAGTTCATGCCAAAATAAAAATCCATACATTTGATCTATAAAAGCTGTTCTAGGGGCCTCCCCTGGTGGCGCAGGCAGTTGAGCGCTGCGCTGTGAAGCAGTCCGCAGCCTCTGCAGCTACGGGCTCCACTCCCGCTGGCCAGGGAGAAACTCACATGGCGCAGCAGACCTCTCCTGTCTTGCCCGCTGCTCCCATCAGCAACGTATTTCAGTCCATCTGCCTGTTCTGTTCCCTGCTCTGTCTCTGGTGAATCCTCTCACCCTCCCATGCATCTGGCCTGTACCCAGTGCTTGTATAAATAAATAAATAAATCTAAAAAAAATTAAAAAAAAAAAAAAGATTGTTTTTTAAAAAAAAGCAGTTCTAATTAGAACTGAAGCTCTTTGAGTTTGACAATGTACTAAATGCAGAAAATACATTTTAAATACAGGATGCATACTAACCTATTGGGCTTGTCAAAATGGACTGTACTTTTAGTTGGTGGAGAAGAAGGCGCGCCTTCTCTTTCTCTCCTGGGGAAGGAATTTGGGAAGTTGTCTTTAGAAATAGTGGAATCAACTTCATCTGATTTTGAAAGATGGATATCCTCGTTTTTTCCCTTTTCTAAACTATTTATAGCTGGATTCTGTCTAGTGTCTTCAGAGTCTTTGTGAAGAGATTGATCCACAGAAGGCTGAACAGAGTCACAAACTACTGGATTGGCAAAGTGTTCATTTTTTAGGAAGTCCATTTCACTGTAGAAAGAAAGAAATTATCAGAGAACTACAAATTTTTAAACCTTGGCAAAATCATAACAGGCTTGTTATTTTAAAAGTACAACATATTAATAGAAGATGTTATGGCGACTGACTAAACCTTTTTTGTAGCATATATACTGATGCTTCATATACCAAAAAATGTATCTATAAACTCTTACCAATGAAGCATAAAAATGGCCTGAAAAATTGTTTTGAGTTAGCACTTAACTTTCTTTTCCTCATTTCTGAAATGGAGAGAATTCCATTGAACCCACAGGATTATTATAGCAGTTAAATGAAATAATGTATTGAAAATATGCACAACATTAATGTGAAACAGTTTTTTTATTGATACTGACATGACTTAGCAAAGTAAAAAAAAAATCTTATTTCTTGCTTCCAAGCATAAATAATTAAGATCACTACACTGATTTAATTACTTTTTTGGAAGGAAAAAAAGACATTAAATATATAAAGCAATTATAATTCCTTTAGAAATGTGAAAAATTATGTCTTACAACTGAAATGTTATTTTGTATGTTTATATAATCTGCCAAATTCTTTAAAAACTTTGAAGTTTTACAGAAATGATCATTACGTACTTACCTTTCAAGTCTTCTGATTTGCTCCATCAAAGACCATTTCTCAGTATTTAATAAACTAATTTTATCTTCTAATTTCTGTACTAGTAAGGAGTTCTAAAATAAAAATGGGAGAAAAATAGAAACTCAGGATCTCATAGCAAGCTTTTACAAAGTTTAAATAATTTCTGTGGCCTTAACCAGTTAATTAGAATATATCTTACCTCTATAGTCTGAGGAGTTTCAAGGGTTGGAGGAAGGTTGCCTACAGTTGGTGTAAGAGCCTCTAATTCATCTTCTTCTACTCCACTGGCCACATCTACAAGATCTTTGCCAGTAACTTGATGATTTCCAAAATCTCGGTAGAGTTGCAGTAAGTCTGGAGGTTTTGGAATGTTTAATCCTACATCATCCCATAGTTCAAAATCCTTAAAAATAAAAAACAATAATATAAAAAAGACCATAAGACAATTTATCCTCCATTTTTGAGGTTCTTTTTCTTATTGCATACATATCTTTAAAATGCAACAATAACAATTTTATCATAATGTCAGTGTGTATGTTTCAAGTGAGTAAATATGATTTTTCAACTTAGTTTACATGTTCTACTTTCCAATATTATTCCTATAAGTTTCCTGATATTCTAGGTAGTAATAAATGCCTTTAAGGCTATAGAACAGAAAGTAAAATAGGGTAAAATATCTTAAATTTTGGCCAGAGGCTGAACCTGAGACAAGTTAAGGGCTTTAGGTGGCACTGTTTTTAGGCAGATCAGTAGAAATTAGCACTGAATTTTATTTTAATGATGAAAGAACAGATTACTGATCATCTCTTTCACTTCCTTTATAGAAGAAAACAGGCGAAACACTCCATGACACTGGCTTCAAAGATATCTTTGTAGATTTGTCTCCAACAGCAAGAGAAACAACAAAAAATATAAATACTTGGGCATTACATCAAACTAAAAAGTTTCTGCACAGTGAAAGAAACTACCAAAAAACCAAAAAGATAACCTACTGAATGGGAGAGATAGATGCACACCATACATCTGACAAGGGGCTGATGTCAAAGATCTACAAAGAACTTACATAACTTAACTCTTTACAAATAACCCAATCAAAAATGGGCAAAAAAACTAACCACGCACGTCTCCAAAGAAGACACACAGATGCCAACAGACACATGAAAAAATGCTCATCATCACTTACTGTCAGGGAAATGCAAATCAAAACCACAGTTAGTTGCCACTTTATATCTAAACAATGGCCCACATCAAAAACACCAGAAACAATAAGTGTTGGAGAGCATGTAGAGAAAAAGTAACCTTCACATAGTATTTGGTGAAAATGTAGACTAATCAAGTCCCTATGGAAAACTGTATGAAGAAATATTAAATACAGGATTAAATATTAAATATTAAATACCATCTGATCCAGCAACTTCTCTCCTAGTTATATATACCCAAAGAATGCAAAAACACTACTTTGAAGGGATGTATACACTCCCGTGTTCTTATAGAATTTTACTGTATGTATAACTTAAAAAAAATAAAGAAATCAGATACAAGAGAACATAAGTAAATTACAAGTTATAAAGTAAATGAATCACTGTTAAAAAAATGTAACTGTACCTGGTCATCATTTTCATCTGAAAAGGTTATTGATGTAAGCTTATAGTTATTCTTCAATAAAAATTCATTGACTAAGAAATTTAGAGCTCTCTTTTCAAGAGGTTTGATTGGCTCCTACAAGCAAAAGGAAGGACAAATAATACGATAAGTTTTTCTCCTTTAATACTTATGTTACTTCTTAATGTGAAAACACTTTTAGATTTGTCATTTACCTACCTGAATTTCAGGACTTGATTTGTAATTTTTTCGTTCCTGTAAAGGAACTTCATGTTCTGGTGGGAAAAAAATATAAATATTTTAGTATTTTACATTTGAAAATATCTCAGCTACTTCTACATTGTCAAAGTGGAAAAAGTCTCAAAAAAGTTTTATGTACACCACCTGCAGCCTTTGTCAGGTTGGCTCGGAGGGCCTGAATGGTCTCCTTGGCTTTCCGTAGTTCAAACTCCAGGACTGGACAGGGATTTGGAATAAACACACACAGGCATCCAACCAAGAAAAGGGAAACAAAAATAAAAAAATAAAAAGCAAGGATGGGTATGAAAAAAAAATACAATTTGTATTGAAAACAGAAAGCATGCAATCTTTATGAAACTTGTGAACGCATGCAGCAGAGTTGATTTGCAAGCAAACTGGTGAATGCTTTCCATAGTTTTAGAATTCAGGGGACTGTTGAGCAACTGTTCTAGCTGTCTGACAAGGAAAATCTCTATTTAAAATTAAATCTATGGCACACTCTTCTTTAGGTAGATAAAAATATAGTATACTGGTGCTTCTGCTTTACTCAGTCTAGGTAAGAAAATGCAGTGGAATATTTTCAGGAGACATAGATTTAGGGGGAAAGATAAAAATTAGATGAAATTCAAGCAAATATACTTAAAACCTTAGGATTTTTTAAAAAAGTATTTTTAAAGGACATTTTATATTTATATTTTATCTAGAATAATGTTATAAATCAATGTATAGAAATGCTAGTGAATATATTCCTTAATTAAGATGTTTAAGGAATATGGCTTAACTAGTTAATAAATGTTGGGTTACCAATAAATTTCTAATAAACAAATGTATGCTTTCTATAAATAGTGTAAGTATGTTAATGTTAAACACGTATCTAAAAAAAGGTCAAGGATTTTATTCTAGGTTTCATTTAAAGCCAAAGGGTAGAATATAGTTTGTGTTTTAGTTTCTTATTAGATTATTCTAAGCAAAAGACTATGTATCATTCTAAAAGTGTAATAATCTAAAGATACTGAGTAATATTAAGCAGAACTTCAAAGTTTCTGATAACTCTTCAAATAGATTTGTTTGTTTTAAGACGTACCAATAAACTCAAAATTTTTTCCTGATTATAAAATAAACAGAAATACAATGTTCCACGAGGAGCAAGATTTTACTATGTGCCTTAACTTGTAATTTTCCTTAAATATATATAAATGCTAGCCTGAAGGAAAAAAAAAACTTAGATGTTGTGAGGGGGGGCCATTTCCAAGAATTGAAACTTTGGGAAAATTAAGTGACCTTTGTCACATGGGATATTAAAAAATTATAATATTTAAAGAGTTCTGCATAAAAACTAGGAAATCAAAATTTTTAAAAATTTGAAAATTACAACATTTTAAGATGCAACTTTCTGGTTGACTAATAAACAGAAAAAAGAAGATGGCAAATGAGATGCATCAGAGAACAAATTTATAAAAATTTATGGAAAAATTGGGATTCACTCAGTTTGCATATTTTCATTAAAAACTTAAGATGTAACTATATCACATCTAGTACATGAAGGCCAATTATTTTGATGCACAGAATTTCACTGCAGCAACACAGAAGCACAACTTAAAATTAGATGACATGTATGTTACTATTGCTTGTTGGTAGTCAGCAATGCTGATCTGCAAACATTTCTGTGCAACAAAGTTCAAACATTTTCCCTAAAACTTACAGTCCTGAAAACTCTTAAAGACTACATATTCAGTGAGGTAAGAAAATAGGTTTTTAAAAAAATCTAGATAGCTGCGTTTGGCTTTAAAATACTTAAATATATCTTAAGTAAAATGAGTATATACATTACGCTTTCAATATAACTTATAATTTACTAAGACATAATATAGAACAATTGCAGATCAGAAATGCGCTGCACCATAATGATAGAAATATGAGGAAAAAAATGGAAAAAAAAAAACTGGTCAAAACATAAACTGAAAATTTCAAATTCACTTGGTGACCAAGAGCAAAACACTGAATGATCAAGGCACAGAAAGCCAGAAAAACCCATGTCAGACGGCAAGAATTTGTATTTTTATGCACATCTACATATACATTGCCAAATGTCACAAAAAGTTACCAATGCTATGAAAGGATAGTCCCTAACAAAATTATTCACTCTGCTGCATGTTTCTTAATAAACAATATAGACTTTAAAATTTCTGAGTATCTTTGAAGCTATAGAACATCTCTATAAAGTCACAGAATAATCAAGGAATTGCAGTTATATAAGAAAGGATTTCATAAGGACTGAACAAGGTTCTATGTTTATACATATATGAAAGTTTTTTTTTTTAAAGATTTATTTATTTATTAATACAAGCACTGAGTACAGTCAGAATCGCGGGAGGGTGAGAGAATTCACCAGAGCCAGAGCGGGGAGCAGAACAGGCAGACTGATGAAGTACGCTGCTGAGGGGAGCAGCGGGCGGCAGGAGAGGTCTGCACGCCATGTGGGACCCTCGCCCGGCGGCTGGGGATTGAACCAGCACTGCAGAGGCTGCGGGCAGCTTCGCAACCCAGTGCTCAAACACTTTGCCACCGGGGAGGCCCTGAAAGTCTTTTTATTAAAAATATTGGATTAAAGTTCAAAATTAATCATCCTATAAAGAAATACATTGCACCAAACAATCTCTAAGTATTTTTCAAATATAATTCTTTACAAAAGCTTTTGAGAATTTATGTTTTTAAAAGTCATTATAGGAATAAACTACCCAACTGCTTGCAATCCTGCTGGATGTAATTGTATTGGAACTAAAGTAACAACTGCAAAGGAATATTAGGAATATTCTAATACTGCATAATACAATCTTACCAAAATAATGAATAAATCAGTAGAAGCAACTCTGAGTAAGTTGAAACAATTACTTCCTGACCAAGGTTGGATAATACTGGTGTTACAGCAGAGGTAATTAAGTGCTTACATATTGTGTTGTGTTATATGCTAACACAACTTGGGAGATGTATTACTGTGTGGAGATACCAACAGTGAAGTGCCAAATTTCTTAACAGAATAAAAATAGCAATACTTTGTTGCCCCAACTCAATATACCACTAATATTATCTTGAAATATCTGCTAGTCTTAGTTTATTTTGGCATAAAATTCAAAATACTATTTTGGAAGAATTTTCCCCCTAACACTGATCTTTAGCAAGTATTTTTTCAGTCCCATTCCTGCTCACTATCTAAGAATTTAAATCAAGAGGCCCAAGGCAAGGATGATGCCACCTCTCAGAAGACACAAAATTGTCTTATGTGAGAATTTCCTGGCTTTCCCCCCTGAATTTAATGTGATTTGACTTTATAATAAAATACTACTTTCCCATCTTTAATACTACTTTTATTATGCCAAGAACAGCTTCAGGAAAAATTCTCTTAAGAATGACTTAGAATAAAAATTTTTTTCTAAAAAAAATTTTTTTTTCTCCTAATAGCACACAAATCCTAAGATGGTACATCACTACCCCTATGCTTTAGAGCATTTTTCTGCTTACTACAGACATCAGAAAGGTACAGTACTGGGACATAAGACTTAATAAAATAGTGAGAAAGAAAACAAGATGCAGTCTTCACGGTTTGAGGACATTTAGTTTTCTATATTCTCTTCAGCGGGAAAAGCATTCTCTTATCAAGTCTTAAAACAAAAAAAAAAATTCTTCCCCTGTCTGATCCTCCTGCTCATGTTCTCTTACAGATTTCTTCATCACTCAACTCAAAGTCAGTCTTTCTCACGGTGTCAGCTTTGGGCTTTTTCTTCCGTCACACACTCCAGTGGGAATATTGACTCTTATGGCAGAAGACTCAGAATGTATCTTCAAACCTCCCAAAACCTACTTGATCATTTCCCAGCTCTGCTCACTTGAATGTGTCATAGTTTTGAATCTGATCCTGTCTAAACGAATTTTATCCACTTTCTCAAAAGTCTCTCAAATCTGTCTCCTTCCCCTACCTTCGCCCCCTTCTTGCTGTCTCTCTCCATTAACTGTAACACTATCTACCCAGTTGCTCAAACAGGAAGCCTGGAGATTAGTCTTCTCTCACCCCTTGCCTTTCTCCCACATTAATTAAATGTCCAAGCCATACTGATGCCAACACTTAAGCACCCCCTGAATAACCATTCACCTCAATCATGTCTGTAACCTGGTTCAGACATATATGATTTATTGCAATAATTACTATAACCCACTGACACCATACTAGAGGCCCTGAAAAATCAGATTTTTCCAAATTCATTTAACCAGGAAATTCTCTTTTCTTATGCTTTACCATTTTTGTTTTCTCCCATGAAACTAACAATTATTAAATGAGATACACTGAAGAACTGTTGATCTAATCATAAAAAAATCCCACAAAAACTCAATGAATAATCACTTTTATCTTTAGCTTAAAATATAACAACATGTGTTTTTTCCTTGAATCTATTTTAATTTCATGATAATAAATGCGGAGTTGCTTATGCTACCTCTCCTTTTTATAACCCTGTTGGAACATCTACCCTATTTTAAATCACACAAAGTCATAAATAACATTTTAGTATGTATAAAATAAAAAAACCAAAAGTATTGCTAATAGGAAGGGCAGGTATCTGTCATCGGGAAGAGTATAGTAAGAAGACAAGCAGCCTTACTTAATCCTGGTAAGGTGGCTATGTATACTGCAGGCTACTAGCTAAGGAATGACAGGACACTGATACTGTTTCTTATCCAAGGAACAGTCACGTTATCCCATAGGCAGTGTCAGATAACACAGGCAGTAAGTGTCATTTTAGAATGTCTAGTATCATGTAAGCTTTATAAAGACTTCCTATGTCTATTTTGTTGATTGTTGTTCTCAAAACAACATTAATATCAACATTAAATACTCAACAAATATTTACTGAATGAATGGACATCCCAATACTTGATGTCATATACAAATCTCAACCATTAATGATCTTACCAGCATTCAGGATGTCTTTCTGTACATATCAGAGAGCACAGTTCTTATAGTTCTCTAGATCCCAATATAAAAGTTATGGTGTACTAGAGAATTAGTTAACAGGTGAAGATATGAGAACAAATAAAATTAGAAATTCTGACGTTAAAAGAAGGATCAGGTAAACCTGAGATAAGGATATGACATGGTTCCAAAATCAATAGATTTTTATCACTGCCTCCAAAGTACTAAGTATTTGTTACAGATAGCGCTCTGTTTCAATACAAATTCCCTAAGGGCAGGAGCTTTATTTCATGCTTTTATATCTAGGGCCCGACATAATGCCCAACATAGAGCAGATGCACGAGATGCCTAAAATAACAGCATTCCCAATATTTTGAATACAGATTTCCTTGCTATCTTTAAGAAAAGGAGGGAATAGGAGAAAAAACTTGAAAATTTAGGAGTTGCACAGTATATGTACTAAGTAATACTAGCTTTGTTTAAAAACACATGGAAGGTTTGTTACTGAAAAAATCAGCTACATTAAGTTTTTTTAATTTGTTATCTCCTACTACTTAAATCATTTTATAAAAATTTATACTTTATCCAGAAATGGAAAATATTTAAAATAAAAAGACTTTAACACTACTTTGTAAAAAAGAAAATGGCTATACTGAAATTGTCTAGTAGGGAAGTATAATATTCTACTATGCACATTAATGAACATAGGAGGAAAAAAACCCATATAATTAGAAGTTAAATAGCAGGCTCTGGAATAAAAGCCTTTGAGCTCATGTCCTGATCTTTCCCCTTGTTGTACGGAGGCTTCTGGGCAGTTCTCAATCTCAATAAGCTTCAGTTTTTGAATATATGTGTAATATAAGTATATCATTACCTTTTTTCCAAGATTGTAAAAAATTTTATATAAAGCATACAGTATATAGCAGGTGCTCAATATAAATATCTCGTCATTTAAAGATCAAAACAGCTGTATAGATTTTCAAATTTGGAGCAAAGATGGTAAGAATGATATTGAAAACAAATGTAGTATCTATCTGTTTCATGAACAGCAACAGCTCATTAAAGGTCGGAACAGACCCAACATTTGCCTGGCAGGGAAAAGGACTCAGTACCTGCGTTATCTATAACCTCCTTCTGCCCAAAACTGATGTAAGAAAATAATAAAGAGATTTTCGTTCTTTCTTAATGAGGTCTATATGTGACCTGATACAGATGATAGGATAATTATCTATTTGGATTGCTCATCTTCTATAAGCTTTTAAATCACTACCAATGACTAGCAAGAAGTCAAAAATATGTTTTGAAATGAGAACTGTCATGAATGGAAGCTTTTGCATTAAGTGTCATTCATCTATCACATGTACATCACATACAAGAGTATCAAAAATCTAAAAGTTAGGCTCTTGGAGTAACGTAACTTTCCCTTCCTCTTCCTCATGAAAATGAAAGAGCGCAATTTATATATTAACATGCTAATCAAAAATTACTTTATCTCCTCAAAATTAGAGAGTATAATCTTTAGATTAAAAATATAAGGTCAAAACTACCATGTATTTAAAACATTTCATCCTGCCTATGATTATAACATTTTGTTTTTACATCAATATTCCCCCAATCAGAAATACTAAAATACCTAAATAATGAGAATGATTATTTCTTAATTTAATGATTATTTCTTAGATATTAATAAATTTAAAGGTCAAGATTTTGAATGGAAATTAAAGGAAGAAAATAGTTTGGTGGCCAATTTCTGGGTAGGAACTATTTTCTAATATGTAACCATTTATATAATAATAAAATTATACAAAACTAGATACACTTGGTGAGTCTCTAAAAAACCATTTAACATTTAACATATAACAAATACATACTACATAGTTTTATCTAATATATCTTGTTAATAAATGCTATATAATTATATTAACATAGCACTACTTACAATGGATTTAATAACATAAATTAGTGCTAGGATTATTTAAATAATTTCTGTTTGATTTGCTAATTTCTAGATATTACTGATGCGATATCTCCACTTTCAAACAGCTGAAAAAAGGTTCATGACTAAACCGTGTTTTGATTGGGGAACCATATTAAATTCTTCCAATGTCTTTCCAGTTAAATTTATTTTACTATTACTTACATTCCTGAATACTCTCTCAGCTTCTGCTGAACTGAAAACAGTTACTTTGTTGTTCCCTTCCAACTCATAATACTGCCTGAGAGTTTTCAATATTTAATGTCTTTATTCTTGAGCAATGAGGGGAGGGTGATGACAATCATAGAACTCAATGAGTTAATATACATCTAAAACTGTTTAGAATGGAATATATGTTCTACATAAAAATTAGCACTCACTTTTATTCATAAATGAACATGGGATAAGTAAACATTTGTTAGATTTTAACAAACTTATCCTAAAGAATCCGCATTATGGACGCTCCCTGATCCCATCTTGCTCCATCTGTCCATGAGGCTTCCCTCCTGCTCCAGGAATACCTACCATTTTGGAGGAAATAAAATACTTGACATCTGTCTGCTTCCCCACCCTCTCAGAGCCAAACTCCTACAAAAGTTACAATTCCTACAAGGCACCCACAATGAGTTCAATGGCAGGTAGTTGCAGTCTAGAAGCACAAAAAAGATACAAGACATTGAAGTCATTCTGCAGGTGCTTTGTAGTTGATCCAGGGTTGACTCAGCAAAATTCAACTGACTTCATCTTATGTGGGCAGAACACTGAGGGTACAAGTTGGTCCTCTGAGGTCCCTACAGATCTAATGCCAATGCCTAGAAGCGGAGCAAGTGGGAGGACAGGGAAAGCATGGAGACTGGAGTGAGCAGCCAAGCAATTAGAAAGGTTGTTTGTGTTCTGATTAGAATAGATGTGGTCCTGGAGGCCACTGCTGTACTAAGCATTAACCCTTTATTATTTTTTTTTAGATTTATTTATTTATACAATAGCTGGGGTACAGGCCAGAGGCGAGGGAGGGTGAGAGGATTCACCAGAGACAGAGCAGGGAGCAGAACAGGCAGACGGACCAAAAGCACTGCTGAGGGGAGCAGCGGGCGAGACAGGAGAGGTATGCCACGCTATGTGGATATCTCCCTGGCTGGCCGGGAATAAACCCACACTGCAGAAGCTGCGGACAGCTTCACAGTGCAGCACTCAATCTGCTGCGCCACCGGGGAGGCCCAACCCTTTGTTTTTATGGATTGTATGGAACTCAGGATAAATTTCTGAAGAGGGGCTGTGACGGCTGGGGAGCACTCAATGAGCTCAAGACAAAGTTTTAGTCACCAAACAGGATGGAATTTTTTAACTAATTTTTAAGAATCAGTAGAATTAATAGGTATATAACGCTTGAGTATCAGCCTTGGTTTGAGGAATCAAAGGAATAGGAGGATAATTACAACTAACTTTATAGTCTAGCATGGCTAAAATAAACTTGTTTTATCCCAGTTTTATTACTACATGGTTGCAAACTATTGGCTATAAGCAGAATTCAGCATATTGTAGGTGTGCATACCACTGGAAGAGGAACTATAGGTTGAGATGTTCCCTTTAGCCAATAAATTGAGTAACGTAACTTTATATATTAACTACATAACTATATTCACGTACCAAATTGTAGTAAAAAGAGAATTCCTCAAGTAATTTTATTGTTTCTGGAATATAAAAGAATCCAAGTCCAACTTTACAAATCTCACTCACCTGCCACTCTCTCATCTGTTTCCCTGTTACCATCATCTGAGTATCTTGCAAAGTCTAAAGAATCAAGGGTACTGATGCTCCCAGCTCGATCTGTAATGAGAAAAAAAAAAGTATTAAACAAATTTTTACTTAATTATCAAGACAAGGACTTGGAAAATAAGTGATCTATTTTTTCCAGTTAATAAAACTATGATTTTTAAGATCTAGGAATATTATTAAAACAATAAGATAAAAATGCTCACAGCAATTTATTTTAAAATAACTTGTTTCCTTGCACAAATTTCTGGCTAACTTCTGAGTAACATACATATAGAACATACTTCAACCAGCCCAGCTAAGAATAAAAGACTGAATGAAATTTGAGCTGATACCCAATATCTTGAGTTCAACAAGATAATTTGTACTAAACACACAACATTGTTGAAAAAACAGAACAGAATCAATCTAATTTTTACAATGTAACCAATACATTGTCTTGTGTATCAAGTTCAAAATTACTTGATACAGGGCCTCCCCGGTGGCGCAGCGGTTGAGCGCTGGGTTGTGAAGCTGCCCATGGCCTCTGCGGCGCCGGTTCGATCCCCGGCTGCTCCCCGGCCACCGGAGGAGGGTCCCACATGGCGCGCAGACCTCTCCTGCCGCCCGCTGCTCCCCTCAGCAGTGTCCTTCGGTCCTTCTGCCTGCTCTGCTCCCTGCTCTGGCTCTGGTGAATTCTCTCACCCTCCCGTGCTTCTGACTGTACCCAGTGCATGTATAAACAAAACAAACAAACAAATAAAATAAATAAATAAAACATGCCTCTATTTAAAAAAAAAACAAAAAAAAAAAAAACAAAATTACTTGATACAAAAGAACCAGTGAAATGTGAATTATAATAGTCTCTAGAAAAAAATACAATCAACAGGGATCAGTCCCAAAATAATCCAAATGATGGAATAAGGAGATAATTTATTTTGAATAACTTATAATTGTGCTCTGTGCAAGAAATGATATATGTACACACAATGAATGAAGGTGAAGAAATCTTAGCACAAAAGCAGAGACTATAAAAAAAAAATACCAATGGACATTCTAGATCTGAAAAATATCTGAAATCTAAAATTCACTGTATAGTTTAATAACAGAATGGAGATAACAGTAAAGTCGATGACCTTAAAATAATTTAGTGGAATTTATCTAATCTGAAGAATAGAGAAAAAAGATCGAAAAGAAAATTAATAGGGCACTATGGGATAGTAACAAAAGGGATACGGGATAGTCTGACAAAAGTAGAACTGGAGTCAACAGATGTAAGAATTGGGACAAACATAAATTCAAGAATCCCAGAGGACACCAGATAAAGAGATGATAGAAACCTACATACACATATTTGTAGAAAGCAAAAATGAAAATATTAAAAGCAGGCAGAGAAAAAATAGCATATTATATGCAGAACAACAATTTAAAATGCTGACTTCTGATTTAAAAAACAAAAACAATGGAATCAAAGCCACTCAGATTATAAAGGTGACAGTTCTCTATATATTTATGCCTATATGAAGATTGTCTAGATATATATATAGTAAGGAATCCATTAAAAAACAAATGCACCCAATGAATCAGTTTATTGGAGTTTTAGAAAACAAAGTAAATACACAAAATCAATCATATTTTATACTGTGTTGCAAGAACTGTTCTCTTCCCTAGTATTTTGAAGCATATGCACAAACACTGTTTAATAGCCACTTCAAGGTTAGCCAGTTATCTTTTGTCCTACAAAGTAAAAAATTAATTAAATGTAAAATTTCCTTTTCATATTATCTGCCCAGATAAAGACAACAATTAAATTAAAAATTGATCAGGATCAATGTGACTGCTAGAATTAAAAAAGTTCTAATACTGGAAAATAACTATTATCTCTTATTGTCTTAAGAAGCAAAAGGTATTCCGAGTGTTTTCTCCCTCTTTCAAACTACACAAATGGTAGTCACTAAGAGAAAAGAAACTTCAAAATATGGTGTAAATTTCTAATTATTTTATTTAAACATCTTTAAAAGGTGAAAATATAAAATGATAGACTGGAATAAAGCACTAACCTATAAATATACCTGGTTGGTATATTTATATTTCATTATAAAATGAAACGCCTGGGACATAATATATATATATGACACTTAAAATTTCCAACTCCTTAAAGAAAACTAATCTCACCACTTTTCTACAATGTTTTGTAATATACCACAAAAGATCTTTTCTCTAAAATTATACAATACATAGCATAAATATAAAGGTACATTAAAAACTACATAATCACCCCAATCCCACTGAAGTTGGGGGTAAAATGAGATATCATTAACATTTTCCCTAGAATTTCTACTCTTTTTGGAACATTTTTCCTATATCTGAGAATGTAGATATAGAATATGTAGAAACTGAATACATAAAATTTTGCATTCTACTTTTAAAAAAGCTTATATAGTGAGAATTTGTCATCTTATTAAATATTGATTAAATATCCCTATTACTTTCCAAAATAAGTATTTATAGCAATTTGAGTTCCATCAGCAGCATATAATAGCAATTGTCAATAGATTATTTTTAATCTTCAGGAATTCAACATATGTATAAAATTAGTCTGGTTTAATATATACATGTCTTTTAATCCTGTTGAATATCCTTTGAAAAATATATTGGCATCTACTCTTTTTTTTTTTTTTGGTAGTGTGAGAATTTCTATACACATTCTCTGATCATCTAGATTTTCCTGAGATATTCATTACTGCCCCAACAAGACACTCTACTTTAATACTATCCCTTCTGACGTCTTAGCTTCTCACTAACTCTTCTGATGCCTCCACCCTGGATATTAAAACATATATAAATCCAATAGGATCAACTTTCATCAACAAATATTCTAGTGTCACTGTACCAGTCCTCACTGTTTTATTCCTGATTTTTATGGAATATTAAGTGTGATGTTGGTTGTTAAGTTCAGATATTTTTTATTGTTATCTGTATAACAATGTATTTTTATTCTAAGTGTTTCTTTTCCTCCTCCCAGTATTTTTTTTTTTAAGATTTTTTATTTATACAAGAGCTGGGGTACAGGCCAGAGGCGCAGGAGGGTGAGAGGATTCACCAGAGACAGCGGGGAGCAGAACAGGCAGACGGACCAAAAGCACTGCTGAGGGCAGCAGTGGGCGAGACAGGAAAGGTCTGCCACACCATGTGGGTATCTCCCGGGCCGTTTGGGAATCAAACCGGCACTATGGAGGCTGCAGACAACTTCACAGTGCTGCGCTCAACCTGCTGCGCCACCAGGGAGGCCCTTTAGTTTTTTTTTTTTTTTTTTTGAAAGATTTATTTATACAAGCACTGGGTACAGTCAGAAGCGCGGGAGGGTGAGAGAATTCACCAGAGCCAGAGCGGGTTACAGAACAGGCAGACTGACGAAATACACTGCTGAGGGGAGCAGTGGGCGCGGCAGGAGAGGTCTGTGCATCCTGTGGGACCCTTGCCGGCAGGCGGGGATCGAACCAGTGCTGCGGAGGCTGCTGGCAGCTTCGCAACCCAGCGCTCAACTGCTGCACCACCGGGGAGGCCCCCCCTTTAGTATTTTTAATACTAGTATTTTTAATCATACACACAGACCCAGATGAACACCTTTTTGAACATGATACATCAATCTCCTCCAAAAATCTCCTAATTCATTAAAATCTGTTCTACCATATCAGGAAAAAATTATGAAATTTCAACTTTGATTGGATTACACCTACAATAGATTTGGTAAGTAAAGTCTACTTTGGATGTAAAGACTAATTTATAGTTCCCAGATAATAGAGATTGATTCAGTCATAGTTCTCTTTTAGGGCAAACAAATGCCTTTCCAAATACTCTAATATGAAAGAGGGAGAGTTTGGAAAATTAACCTCCCTTACTAAGAAAGAAGCCACCATTTTTTAATATGAAGTACACAACTCATTTATTAAAATTCTAGATTGTATAACTTCTTAAGAATTCACTTTATAAGTCAGAGACTGAAATACTGGGACTTTCATTGTAGTTGGCAAACTGGTAAACCCTGTTGTACGTTTTAAGTCCGAGGACTAAATCCATTATATACAGTGTGACTGTAAGGCACACATATGCATATTGATTTTACAAATCATATATGAAAGCATCCCTTACATTTCCATTATCATTTAGTACTGACACAGTACCGATACAGTGTACTTTTACAATAGTTAAAAAAAGTGAGTTTCAGATCCTTGAAAAGGTATCTTTTATGGAAATTGCATAGTACCCTAGAAAGTAAATGCAGCATAAAAACTGAGCAGCTGCTGCTGACTGGTGGTATATTGGTTATTTCAATTAAACATTTATTGAGTGACTAGTATTACCAGGTTAATGACAGAAATTTGCATAAAATATTAAAGGATACCTTTTTAAGGGATCTGGCGTTTCTTGTGTATGCTCATATATGCGTTAAATGTTTTTGTATAGTAAGCTGCTAATTATAATGGACTGTAAGGAGAATTAAAAATTTTCCTTACATACTCTTCTTTCCATTGTTTGAATTTTTGATTTGTATGTTTGGCATGTTTCCCCTAAAGACATTGAATACTTCTAATAAATTTATATATATATAAAATAATTTAAAAGTCATGAAAATACTCAATTCATAATTACAGGATAAAGAGAAAATAATATCAAGCAATTAGCTTTAAATTTCAATTCTTTTAATAAGTTATTTTACTAAAACATTCTTTAAAAACTTATAACGATCAAAAAAAAAGAAATACATAATACATAAATTCAATAAACAAGTAACAAATTGATCTTAAAAGTAACTATATTAAATACATATTAAAAATCCACCTTAAATGTTACACACTTAAAACACAGACCTCAGAGATATGACAATGATAAAATTCAAGTTATTATATTTTCTGATTCTCAATTCTTCTCCAAAGCTTGGATTCATTTTCATTGATCTATATGTTCACAATATTTAAGAACTAGGGAGAATCCTAGAGATAGTCCAACCCCCTTCCCTCATCTTTAGAAATGAGAAAACCAGTTTATGTATTCATTTAGTGAATATTTATTAA